CAGGAACCGTGATGTACTTAGATTCAGTACTTGATCCAGAGACTGACCTCCGGTTCCCAAAACGTTACGCCTAACGTCAGCATTGCTGATACGATTTTCCCACCATGCTCGGGCAACTCTACGGAGACATCGATGCTCGAACACCGGCAGTCTTCACATATCATCTTTTCTTAATGGCCATGTTTCTGAGTCGTATAAAAGAACGAACCTGACCACCGCATTGTACACTTGCCCTTAACAGATAACCGAATGTCACGCCGGCGCCACAGATGATGGAGTTTGGCAAAAAGCAAACGCACCTTCTGTGTGCGCGATGACGCTTCATCTGATGTTTGTCCACCTGGTGAAATGTAACTTCCCAGGTAAGCAAATCTATCCACTTCAGCTAGAGTTTCCCCTGCCAAGAAGAGGTTTGGTGTTAAGCCAACCCAGTCCTGCAACAGCATTTTGCACTTTGAAGGGGCAAAACGCATCCCAAACATTCCTACACTGTTGTTAAGTCTATCTGAGAGAGCTTGCAACTTATCTGGATTTTCACTCAGAAGAACAATACTGTCCGCCTATTCCAGGCCAGACAGTCTACTGCCTGAGCAAAAATCGATGCCACAATTCCCACACGAGGATAGGTGTACCTCAAGAATCAGTCCAACTACAAAATTGAAGAGGAAAAGCTGAATGAGGCAATCCTGACGAACATCACTTTCCGTGATGAACTCGGGTGAAAGATGACTGTAAGCACGAACGCGAATTTGGCTGTTCGCATACAAGCATTGGAAGAGAGAAATAAGGTCGTCTGGTACACCGTTCAGTGAGAGGCAGCGCCAGAGAACTGTGCGGTCGACTGAATCTAACGCTGCTTTCAGACCAAGAAAGACAGAAATTGTTGACCTACGGAAGATGTGTCTGTACTCTAAGGTTTGTCGAAGAGTAAAGATGTGGTCAATGCAACCACTGTTGGGTCTGAAACGGGCTGGATTCTCACGCGTACACATTTCGCGGGCCCTGGATAATCGGTGGTGATTAAGCCCGGTGAGCAGTTTAGACGCGATACTTATCAAGCTGATTCCTTTATGGTTTTCACCGGAGGACCTGTCACCTTATAAATCAGCACGATCACCGATAGCAAATAACCTGGCGGAGTTTTGTTAACTCCGAAATCAAAGCTTCACCTCCATCCTTGAAGAAAAAATGGAGACGATCTACTCATTCCGGCGGCTTTGTACCCTTTTAAGAAACCTACCTCCCACATAATCTTTATCTCTGATGGAGGTGCTATGTTCACCAGTATCGTTTCTCTGGCAGATATAGCTCTAACTGCTTCGTCTCCTGAGGTGCGCAGAAAATAAGTCGATGAGATATCAGGAGCAGTTACTTGAATTACGCTGCTGGAATGCTGGATACGCTGTTCACTTACGCAGCATACATCGATCTTCAGAGAGTTCATTGTGAGGTCTAGGCATGCCTGCTGACCGGCCTGCATGAGCACGTTGAAGGGGCCGAGATTCCGAGGCTAACGAGGCTTGAGAAAATGTGAGTTCCCAGATGGAGGATCATTCCCGACACTATTTGTCAGTGAACCTTTGCGAGTGTCGGCCTTGTTTCAGTGGGAGGATTATGGGTGGATAGAGGGAGCAAAGAAAAGTGTTTGGGGACAGAAGAAGGTTAAATTAAAAAAGGGCAACTCTTAGCGGTAGTTCTTTTATCACCACCCATCCCGCTCGATGCAATGGGCAGCGTGGTCTCGACTATCCTGCGCGACAACCGATGCAGCATTGAATTCTTTGTATACGTGCAGTTCATGGGAGATGTTGGATGGGTACTGCTAGGGTGTCCAGCCGCAAAACAGGAGAACATTTAGGGTTCCCAACCAAAGCCTTTAGTTCTAACGGGCACCCATCCACAAGACAGCGGGATGGGTTAGCGGATCCCATTTGCTTGGATCATTTGTTCTTCCACTGGTTTTGCCAACTGAGTTGCCAGCTCAAATAGACCCCCAACCTGGAGGACCAGGAGACGAATTTTTCTGACCCCTACCCACTGACCTGTCAGGTATGATTGCATTTCCGGCCCTAAGAAGCCATCCTGTATAACTCTTTGGGCCACAGAGGCGCTCAAGCCATCACGCCACGTCAAGATGCAGTCTCGTCGTTACCTCAGACGCCGGTAATCGAATATTGTCATTCGGCGCATATTTCCCAGAACTGGCCGTGTTTCGCATCCGTAAAGTAGTACCGAGCGAACTGTGGCGTTATAGGCTCTACCCTCTAGGAAGAGCCTTGTGTCGTGACGACACCACAGGTGCCTTAGGTTGGCAGAAGCCGAACGGGACTTACAGATACTTAGCAAAACCGGGTCTCTGATTCCTCCACCTTGGAAATGCAACTGCTGTACTCACAGGTGCTGACAGTTTCTCAATGATTCCCACTAAGAGTGAGTGCAGGAGAATCTCCCTGCCAGTCTTGGAGAAGCATTTCTCGCTTGGATGAAGCAGAGTGCGTGCCGTACTCATTGATTTCGCGGCCAAGTAGTTTAACACAAATTGGACAATTTTGAGGTTGTCTCCCAACAGGTTGACGTCGCCAGTATGATCTGATTCAGCAACTCTAGCGTCCGGTATCAGTTCGATACCACCGTTTGCAACACCAATAAAGGCTCTTTGTAGCTGATCATCTATAACGAAGTTCAAAAAGAACGGGTAAGTGGGGCATCTTTGCCGAACACCACTTGAGACGACAAAAGATTCGGATAGTTGCCGTTAGACCCTCACTCTCCCCGAGGTTTGCCTATGGAGAGCTTTCGGAATGGAAACTTCCTTCTCAGACACACCGTTCCTCAGTTGGCAAGTCCACAGAGCGGTCCTATCGACAGAATCAAAGGTGGCCCCAATGTCCAGAACCACAACGATAATTGGCCTCTGATAAATGTGACTGTGTTCAAGCAGAAGGCGAAGGGTTGAGATTTGATCTGGGCAGCCGCGGCCGGGATGGAAGCCAGCTTACTCTTCACGACATAGGAGCTCGCGCAGGGGAGATAATTAACAGAGGATAATGGACACTGGAAGTTTTAAAACGACAAAGATCAGGCTAATTCCCCCATGATTAGAACGCAGTGTGCGGCAACCATTTTCAAAGATGGGTACAATCGTCGATTCATTCCAGGATGCGGGGACGTTTTCCTCCGTCCAAACCTTTTAGAACGGGGTTGTCAATTCCAGAGGGAATACGATCCGCTCCATGTACCTTGTGGCGCTTTAGGGTTTGTAGTTCCTTACGAATTTCCGCTTCGGTTGGGGGACCGTCTGGAATAAGCCACACAAAAGGTGTAGGAGTGCTAGATGCAGCAGAATCAGCCTTTGGCCAATTAAATTTGGTGTGAACGTGTTCTGCTCAGTGGTCTAATCCGCGCGACAGGTCGGTGGTATAATCGGTGCAATCGGTTTCGCGGATTTTCTCACTAACGCCTGTCTTCGCGGTCCGGTGACCCAAATGAGTTGAAGGAGCTTCCTGAAGTTGCCAGAAGCAGAAGCTGCTTCCATCTCGAGGGCACGTTCTGACCACTTCTCACGATCCCTATACGAACTGTTCTTCAAACGCGAGCGGAGTGTGTCGTGCATCAACGGAGATATGTTGGCGGTTCTCAAGCAACGGTAAGAAATTTGGGTATGGCTATCCGTGCTACAAGTGATCAGGCCGACATTCAGTAAGGCTTCCTTCGGTCGCTCGCAGCGCTCATGTATATCAGGTGGAGCGGTGGATTCCAGTGTCTGAGCCAGCGTAGTCTGAAAAGCTTCTAGCACTAGAGGGATGTTTAGCTTGATATTTAGGCGAGCATGATTCGAATTCTTCGAGCCCCCAAATCGCAAGTTTATGGTAGCACAGATTAACGCATGATCCGAATCGAGGCAGGTTGAGCAGTAAGAGGGCCAGTCTAACACGCTGCCATGTCAGCGGTAGCTGATCGCTACATGATCGATTTGAGGTCATTCCTGTGTTGAGGACAAGGGACTCCGGGTGGCGGTACGTCACTTGGAGTTGCGAAAGTATGCTTGCTAGAAAAAGCCGGTGATTAACACATTGTTAGCCATATGCCCCCGTTGTCCGTACGACGGAAGTCGGGGCCAAACTGCCCTCGTCGGTGTTGTTCACTCTCTGCCAGGCAGCCGACGCTCACATTTAGATCTCCGGCGAGGACCGCGATATCTGACGGGGGGGGGGGAGTGAGGAAGAGCATATGAAGCTGTGGGTAGAATTCATCTTTGTTTACCGCCGGACTGCAGTCAGTCGGGACATAAGCGGAAATGACAAATACGTCGCGTGTGCAATCTCGATGTCTAGTTAATCGGCAAGAACCTCGCAGCCGGACTGCAGAAAATTGGCTACTGACGGGAATCCAGTCTGACACCGCCGCTTCAGCTCTACGGTTCAGAGCAATTCCAACATCGGCCTGGTCGGCACCTGTAGCATCCGCGTCTCCAGGTAGGCGTAGATTAAACTTGTTGTTGGGATTGGCTGGAGACGTTAGTCTGATCGTGGAGCTTGTCTCGTACAGTCCTGTCTGTAAGAGGCAGCAGATACCGAGTGAGAGGAATTCAATATATATATATATATATATATATATATATATATATATATACATATATATATATATATATATATATATATATATATATATATATATATATATATATATATTGAAGTGCGAAGTCAATGGTTGGATGGAATTAACCGAACTGGTTCTTGTTTGGCATTAGTGGAATGTATGTCCACGTGTCTTACTGCACGGTGACTACTGGTAGGGGTTTGCATGTTCTTTGTCAAATTCGGCCCATGCACTTGATTTTTTCGTAGCTGACACTGCTATTTCCGTCAGGAATCGGTTAAGATGCAGTTTGATTTCATGTTATTTTGCATTTCTCGCCCGTATTACTTAATGTAAGTGACTCGCATAACTTCATTGGCGATGGTAATCTTGGTTTCTCTCTCGTGAATTCCGTGGCACAGGTATCAAACATCACAACATTTAAAATCACATGATGTACATAACAATACATACAACTACAAGTTCACCTTTTCTGTCGAGATCGCTGGGATTTGTAAAGTAAGTTCCACGTCCGTTTTTTCCTTTTTTTTGTTCTGTTTCCAAATTATAATTAAAATTGTTAAGTACTAACCGAGGGGCTCAAGGGTTCACCGCCACGGAGGTTAAAATCCCACCACATCGATCACTTTGATGGCAGGTGGTAATCCTTAATCACTCGAGTCGTTATCTGCCATATATATATATATATATATATATATATATATATATATATATATATATATATATATATATATATAATGATTCATAATGCAGTCAAAAAGCTAAAACTTCGGTCAGTAATAGTGTGCACTGTGACAGACTAGTCCTCCTATCGGGCTCATAAAATTGACAGCTACTGGTAGATCATAAGCGAAGGCTTCCGGTGTTTGGCTATTGCTATCTCCGAAGTTTTGCTCAAATATGATAGGAACACCGGTGTACTTTGTTTTCTAAAGCAGGCAGTGCTTGGGGGTTGGGTTAAGGTAGTCAGTCTGTGAGATGTCTCAGTGGTACGAAAACCTCAGGCAGTGGACTTGGTTGAGCAGGATTGTATTGTATTCTGTCAAATAATTCAGCAAGTTAACAGACTCACATTTCAGCCCAATCGAAGGAAACTGATCATTGACACTAAAATAAGCGTAGAAATAAAAACTGGTTCACCCAGCGAGGTTCGTGCGAAGTTTCTCCGTGGCTTTCATCTTGCCAAACAGAACACGTGCTGGGCAAAACACTGTTACATTGCGATAGACAATTATACTACAGGGGAGAAATCTAAGTACGGAACTTGTGGAGACACGCGACTGACATGCAGATAAATCATAGTGCAGGGAATGGAAGGTGTCCGAGAGAATCTTCTTGGCGAGTTTTTCTCAGGATGTAATGTAAAAAATGCAAACTTTGGGGATAAAAGCGTCCATGGAAATCAAGGGGACAAATGATAATGGCCGGGTCGCGGTGTAGTGTGAGTAAATCTCTTCAGTAGACCGGGAAACATTATAGGAGAGCAGTAGAATGAGACTGGGAGAATACATTGATGGACGAAAGAAAAGATAGCAGCTTATGTGGCGTTAAACTGCGTTAACTTACGATTTTACAGACACAGTCTACGTAGTTTTTTAACACAACGAAGAATACAAAAATCTACTGTCAATTGATGCTGATTCCGTAACGGCAACACCGGATCTATGGTTACAGTTCGGTAATAAGTACACCACTGGTCTATCACTGCTCATTATCTCTCTTTCATCACCCTTTCGGACCTGGACGTTTCCATCGTCGGTTTTTCTGACCGTTAACATTCCAGTATCTTTCCTTTCCCCTTTGGTTCATAACTATTTGTCCATGGGAATGCCTGTGCTGGGACTGACTACACTTTTGCGCGATCTCTGTCTTTTCGGTGTGTCTGTGCGAACAGTGAACGGGTTGTTCGACGGCAGCTGAGGCTGAACGGTGCACGGCGAACCAGCTAGTTTTCTCAGAGACGATGCGAATATATTTGATGATCCGTTGTGTTTCCCACACTGTTTAAACAGTTTTGCTTCTGAATGAATTTACCAACGCTTTCGACATTCTTGCAAGTTACTTTGACCGACACAGCCTTCACTATCGGATTCCTTCAATCACCGGACAACAATAAATGTGTTCAAGTTTGAAATAAACACAGGTGGCTGCACACGACAGTAGTAGTTACAGTGCATTTTGCCATAACTATCCAACGTGATTATCATACCTATATGACGACTTGAGTAAAATAACGCCATGAAGCTGGTAATTTATAATAGTATGCAAATATTAGTTTAATTATAGTATGCGGGGTACTGGACAAAAAAATAACCAGATGCAGCCCGTAGTCCGACTGATGAGTTCGACGCTGCTGAGTTAACACATACCACTTTGCGAAAGCTACATCGGCCTTGATAGGATAAGCGCCCTTAAGAGAGCAGCTCATATGGTGGAGGAAAGATATTGAGAGCCACTGCACGGGGATCTTTTTGTGTAATGGGCTTCCACGAGATCCATATAACTAGTGGTCATAGGTAGGCGGAAATATACGACTACAAATCATGACAAGTGATAAAATTTTTTTTCGTTCGGTTGCTGCTGAAAAGTAGTGACCAGAACAGCCATAATCCAATAACCACTGATGGTTATTCCAACTTAATCAGATTCATTGAAGTCTTTCACATCCAGAGGACCAAAGTGAATATTCAAAATTAAAATACAAACAGATTATTGGTAAACACTGTACCAATGGATGAAATACCTCTGATCAGATGCTAAATAGGTTGCCATTCGACTCGAGTTTTTTATTTTAAATTAACCAACATGGACCTTGTACTCACTATGATCGAGTTCATGTTGGTTTATATACCACTAACAATCCACTCAATTTGTGTAGACAGCTATACTTGACCACTTTGTGGTTAAAAAACTACCTTCAAATGTATAATTTGCGAATTCCGGTGTCGTTCACCGATTTCTCAAGCGGATATAGCCACGTAATTTTTCTCGTAAGTATTCAGAAAAACGCGAAATCTAACTACTGTCATTATTCTCAGTAGTATTATTAGGAATTCGAAGCTGTAGGGCTGTAACCGTTCCTAAAGAACACACTACACTGAAAGCATTTGGAAGTGTTGAGCCATGATTCGGAATGGCATGAAAAACTATAAGTATTGTATTAGTTCCCGAAAAAGGAGTTAACGTCCTGTTAGTTGGAGATAGATTGACAGAGCGCGACGTGATTGGCGTATTCACGAAGTTGTGCAGTTGATGCAGTGATCACGCTGTTGATATATGTGGGGAAGAAAAGGTGGGAAAGAACGGCACCCTTGAGAACATTTGTGTTGCTATTCAGATGACTCGATAGATATGTACCAAATTCAATGCTTTGCGCTTTGTTGGAAAAGTAGTCTTTCAACCGCGAGAGTAAAGAAGTGGGACAGCGAAAAGACTAACTTTTGAAGAAACAGGAACGGGGAACCGAATCCAGTGCGTGGGAATAATCAAGGAAAATCCATCGAACGGATTCATAAAACTATTTAAGTTGTTTGACTTGAAATGGCAAACTGAAGCAATTGCATCCAGAGTGCATCTATTGGGTCTCAACTGAAGCTAATACGAGTCCCCATAAGACAACACAAATCAGATACCGCACTCAGTATCTTCCTAAATAGGTCTAGCGGGCAAAGATAGCAGTCGAAAGAAAATTGCGAAGAAACAATGGGAAGAAATCTTTGAAGAAGCGTAATGTTGGCAAGTGACAGTTTTCTAGAGTTGACCTTTATTTTTTTGTTCTGATAAGTGAACAGTGCGCTGAATATGAATAAATTTTGGGTTTGACGATAATGAAAGCGTGATCATTCGTTGAAACAGGAGCTTTTAATCGCAAATGAAGAAGTTCTGAATGATTGGTGGTAAATCTTTCTAAAACAACATTCCCTCTAGTTGGGATATAAGACAGAGGTCACTTAAACTGAAAGCAAATAAAAGTTACGTAGGCTCATGAATAAAACACCGACAGTAATGCATAAACAGTCAGATGGCAGTGGAATTAGAACGGGTGGAACGATGTCAAAGAATAGGTTGGTGTCTTTCTGGGAGCAAGAAGGAGCTGTGTACAAGTTACTGACAACAATACCTGTGTACATAGGGTTTCCGCGGCAACGTTCACGATGCCTGCCCACCGGATGGTTAGAGATATTAGGTGGAATGGCTAGGCACTGTGTTAATTTGCGTATCGCATTCAGGTATTTCCTCCGTCCTAATACTTTTCAGTTATAAATTTATTTTCTGTTTATTTGCTCTGTGTGGTGCTATTTGTTTTCCTTTCAACTTCACGAGATGAGAACAGAAATCAGGCACAGAATTGCAATGTTATTGGTTGGAAGAACTGAATTATTCTGTGACGCTTTTCAGTGCATGATGAGTTAATCATTCGATAACAAGATTTCCCCAGTACCTTGGTCATTCGTTCCTAAATTCTGATCTGTATTCCGTTTCACTTGCCCACCTGCCCCACATCTCTACAACAGAATGATATTGTTTGTTTGTCTAAAGCTCAGTCACAACGCCTCGGTGGGATCGGACCATTATGTGTCGTGACAAAAGTCGCTGAAGCTATTCATCTAATCGATCCAGTCACGTGTCAGAGTGAGTTCCAAATCCACTCTTCTCAGGCGCCTCTTCTTTCCGAGTGAATAGTAATCGTAGACAGCTAAAGTGAAACCGATATGTATTGCAGATGAGTGTTTTGTTCGCGTGGTAGAGGACTGTTCTTCATTATTATTCTGCAAGTGTTCACCACGACACAGTTATTGGTTTATTATTTTGCTTGTGTTCGTAGCACTTCGCCGTTTTAACATGGTTTCGATCCGTCAGCACAGCACTTATTGAGTCAAAGTTGCGGTTCATTTCATCTAACGTGGGATTGAACTTTGGTGTTGTGGGTTGACCAGTTCCACCGTCATTTTTTATATGTGAACGACGAAAATGTGACCGAAAAAAAAGTTCTGGACATTTTGAAAAAGCTCTGCTATCGCCCCCAAACTCGCAAGAATATCCTCTGACTTATTGCAATCTTATTTAGTTTTCTACTCAAAATCTGAATATCTGTACCCGATTCTCCACGACTGCAATGGATCTCTGTAACTGCGATGTACACGCCCCGTCCACTACATTCATACTTATGCATAGAATAAAAGGGATAAAAGATACCATCTCGAGTGCTGTCACTTCTGTGCCAGATAGACGTCTATTTAACGGCGAGATTATGGATGTGAAATGGTCAATGCTAATGGTGTCCATTATGGCAGTTGCTCTGGGTCAATTAGGATGGATATTTGAGCGAATCTATAATCGAGTGTCGAAGACTACAACTCAGCTATGAGGAAAATGATGATGGAGAAGATGAACAACTCCTCAGAATCCCGCAAATTTCGATGTAAATTTACGGACTCTAAGAAACACCCGCAAACTATGCTAGTATACTGGTATCAAGGACAGCATAGAACCCAAGGCCGCCGTTGATCACCACGGAAAGCTCTTTTAAGTGAAAATCCGTCACTGGCAAGAAATGACTACCATCTCTCACTCTGTAACGCGGATAACCATCGGTCAGGAGAGACCAAGTTGGGCCAAATACCGGCCAGCTGCCAGTACGAACTACGTATCAAACCAGGTGCACGCTGCTGCCAAAGGACTCCAGACCATGCGAAACCGATGACGACCATTCATTGCCGATCAATTTCTCGCTGCTGTAAAACACGGTCATCTACTTCATTAGTTAGTCTCGTCCTGCTTTATCGATTTCTATCGAACGAGCGTTTTTTCGGGTGCTCTGCATGATTATGCGATTCCCAAGAAATAAGTAAACGGGGCTGTACAATTCACCGACGCGAGTGCACATTCGTGGTCATAGGGAAGAATTATTGTTGTTAATTTTCGGCGTCGGCATCGATCAGAGCTGTTTTTCACACTTTTAACCACCTAGGCCATCGGCCAGATAATGCAACGCGCACTCACTGGTTAGCATGGGGTTATGTGTAGCAGACCTCGAGTTTGCGGATAATATTGCCATTTTCACGATGCAACAGGTAACTTGAAATCAACACTATGGGAACTACGTTTTTCTGCCTCAACAGATCCGCTACACTCAATCCACATAAATGAAAGGATGACAAAAGCAGTCCGTACTTTCACGCGCTCGGTTCTACCATGCACCCAAACGATATGCTTGTCTCCGTGTTTAAAACAATGCATTTTTTTCTTCTCCGAAAGCCATTGTGATTAAGTCGTCCATCACCCTGTTTTCACGCACGTCTGGTAAACGTGACCGTAGACGGGAAAAGGTCGAAAAAGTTGAAGGATTGTCATCATCATTACACCTGATACGTATTGGAAGTGAAGTGGTGTAATAATTAAATTTAAGTTCGTGCGCAGCTTAACACTGCTTACTACTCATGGGTAGCTGCTACAAGAGACATAAAGCAAAATTGTCTTCACTTATGACTCATTTTGTAACCATGATGTGTGACTTTTAGGTGAAATGGATGCGTAATAAGCACTACTTTTTCGTTAATGAAATTATCTTTTACACGCATGATTTTGACCGTTACAAGCCGAATCGATTCGTAGTTATTCAAGCTTGTGACAAGTACAAATAGGGTATCTCTACCTTCATACACTTATTCATATGGTCAAGTTTACGCCAATTATAAGAAAACGATTTTTACTGGAATTTCACTAACAAATTAACGCCTTTGTTTTACTTCAGTCTGCTGGGTTGATGGATCATCCTACTTTGCCAACCCGTTCACTGCAATAGCCAGTCAAAAACAATTCTCGCCGTTCGTGATAGTCGAGATAGAAGAAGATGATGATCGGACAGAGAAGAGTTCAACCGGAACAGCACCTGTGGGGGCTCGCATTTCTCAACGTCATCGTTCAGCCTCCGTGTGGTTAATGCGCCTGAATCAGAAACTGGATGAGGATGACCCTCAAGGTGGTTTGGTTCACACTCGCACTCATCTGGGGCACATTATTCATGTGGGTGATACGGTGCGTGGGTGAGTTTCTGCTATTTAGTTCCCTATCACCGGTGTTCTTCCAAAAATATGTGCTTAAGTTTGCAAATGCTTCGCTTCACTATGGATGCCATCGGCTGTAGGGTAGCTGGACTGTCCCCTAGGATAAAAGTATCGTCCGCGAATTCTAGGTGAACTAAAAAAAACGTTTGAGCTGAGCTCCGCACCAGGGTAATCGCTTGCCGCATTATCCAATCGATGGCGTAGTTGAATAGGACTGGCGACAACTCGCAACCCTGTCGAACATCGGAGTTGACGAAGAATTGGCCGTATTCTTCTCTGTAAAAGCGTATTCGTGCACGCGTAGTTAAATAGTACGATTTCAAAAGATTGACAAGTTTTTCAGGCGTGCCGTCTGCTAAACTTGTCTTTCATCTGAGTCGAACGCTGTGCAGAAATCAACAAAACGGACTGATGTCGGTTGTTTAAATTTTGTAGCGATGTTCTGGTACTCGGCGAAGGGTAAATATCTGCCCACACATCCCCTACTGCTCCAGACGCTTCCTTGATTGGGACGAGTGCATGCATCCTTCACGGTTGAGAAGCGATTCAGTTAGAGCATGGAGAATATCTTTGCAGCCACATCGGTCAGGCTAATTCTACGGTCGTTGTCGCACACTGTCCTATCAACTTTCTTAGGAGAGTGAGCAAGATTGGGGTTCTCCAATCCATGGGAAATGGTTCTTTTTCTCAAATCGAACTTGTGGAAGGGCTCTACCAGTGCCCGAAGACAAGATTAATCTTACTTCGATTCTGTCTTCTCTCGGGGCCTTTCGGTTGTTTAGATTATGTATCACGGCAGTAATGCCCACTAGAGATGCAGGGCTGCTACTGATGTCGCAGATTCCACTTTGGATTGCGGGGATTCGGCTTTTTAAGCTTGCCATGGAATGATTCAGTAAGTTATCAAAACGCTCGGTCCATCTATGGATCTTTCCGCTGTTCCGGAATCAGTAGCCCGGTAGCGTCGCGAGAGATAAGTTCTGCTGGTTGTCGCTGGTCGGATGCCTTTCGAATGAGACGAAAGCGCTTTGATAAGTCACCACAATTAGCCGCCGTTTCCATACTGTCCGCGATTTCGGACGAGTAGCTGTTCCGGCCTTTTTTTGCTGAGCGGGTCGCTTTTCGTCAAATCTCCCGAAAGCCAGAGAGGCCATTTGGGCTGGCGTCTTTAGCTTTTTTGGATAGATGGGGAGGGGAGGAGAAGGTTGCCTTCGATATCCAGTTCTGTCGTGGTCGTATAGTACCCAATTCGTCGGCCGTAGATTGCACGATAAACGATTTCGATGAATTCCATTGTTGCTTCACCGATGTTTCACTGACTGGGTGATTGGTTAGGTGGGTGGTGATAGCAACTGATACTGCTTATCGCTTTGTCGGTGATCCTGGGACACAGGATTTGTTGTGATCGACTAAGTGGACCTTGAGACATTCGCGGACAAGGGTGTGTTCAGTGCCATTATTATTTCTTGTCTCTGCCCCTCTTCAGTCGAGGACGCCCCTCGAGATCGTACCAGTATTCAGTCGATCTGGTGTGCAGTGTGACCGTCGTTTGAGTACCACGTTGACAGATGTCGTCTGATATGTCCGTTGCGGGTGTTGAAGACGGTTAGTCTCTGGTAGTCTGCGAAACTGACGAGACAAGTACCATTGTTGCATTGTTGTTTAGTACCATATTTCCCCAGAATGTGTTTAGTTGCATGCTTTGAAGAACCAGTGCAAGCGTTCCAGCTTAGTAAACTACGTTGGTTGGGACACGTGTTACGCATGGCAAGCACACGTGTACCATACCGTGTCCTATTCTCCGTTCCTCCTAGGGAGTTGTAGAAACCACGTGGAGGTCAAAAGATGACGTGGCAGCGAGGAATGAGAAAATGTACAGCAAACTTAGGAAAAGTAGGTGCCTCACGTCTTCGTGGTTGGGTCCAACAGATCCGTCTACTAGTTGGCTGGAGACACTGAAGGATATGGCAGCGAACCGCGAGCAGTGGCGATCGTGTTGTCACTTTCTATCGAATCAGAATGATTGATCGATGTGTGTTTGTACAGTTAGACTGTGTATTCCGTGTGTTGGCTACTAGGGCATTCTTTCCTTTTGCTACCCGTGTAGGTCCACTCCCTCTCCATCTTGTATATTCATACTTTCTAATTCAACGTGCAACATGTTGAGAAAGGCAGTGGTCAGTGGTGCTTGCCCTACTGTTTAACGCTGTACGATGATGATGATGATGATGTTCCAGACCCCCGCAACAAGAAGTATATTTCGATTTGGAACATTGTTGACCACTTCCTGCAACCTACCATAGAACTCATCTTTCGCTGCCTCTTCGGATGTAAATGTCGGGGCGTAGATTGCAACAGCTGATATGTACAAAGGCGAGGAACAAAACCAAGCTACAGCAATTCGAGGGGATGTCGGGTTCCATGAAAGCACCACCTTATTAGCCCTGCTACTGACATCGATCGCAACGGTGTTTGTACCTCAAGCATTCAACTGGATGGTATGAGTTTTCGTGCTGCTCGACCACTAACATCACCAGCACACCCTGAGTGACTAATCCGCGTTGGCTGTTGCACTCTTTCCGCTTTTATCTTCTCTGAGTATAGAGTTAATTGATGTTTTAAAGAGTTCGTCTGTCTAACAGATGCCGAGTGAATGCGAAACAATCAGAAATTACTTGCTTTGCGACTTAGAATCATGTTCTTCGGGGATGGAGTTAACCATTTGTATTTTTACGCCAACAAATCCATAATGATTATGAAGTTTGTTCGGTAGACGGATCGGCCTTTCTGGACCCGACGGGTGGGTTTGTGGCCGTCTAGGCGAGTCATGAGAGAAACCGCTAAAATTGATATGTGGTATTTATGGAAACGTGCACCAGGCAGACTTCTTCGGTACCCGCTTTTCATCGAGACCTGTATTCGTATGACTGATAATCAGTTCACGGCGTGTCAAGAGGTTATACAAATCGTAACGTATGAAGATCTCGTGACCCGCGGTCCGCGGTCATCTTGCATTCCACTGCTTCCAACTTGTGACTTCCGTGTGGAGCTAGTTGACTTGCGCAAGGTCAAGGGGAATGCAATCAAAACAGGATAAATTCGAGAAAAATCATGTTAAGAAAACAAAAGTACTAATTTAAGCACTTTTTTTGCGATGTCAAACGTTGAGTGGATGGGTCGATCTCTCAACAGTCACTTCAAAGTTTGCAGCACCGGAAGCGGTAGAAACCAGTGAATGGAAAGCCAGATTGATGTGGCAAGACAAACAGTCGCCGAGGCATATACAGTAATGAATGGACTATGAATAAATGGAAGTTGTGGGTCATAAAACGCTCATCAAAAAATGGGCAAGAGGAATATCAACTAAAATACGGGTCCTATGTCACACGTCTCTCCGGTGCTACTCTGGACTGAGCGACCGAGCCGCACAATATCCCACAACACTTTAAATTGTTCTCAAGGATTTCAATTTTTTCCGAACATTATTCGCACTTCCCACCGGGTTACCTCCTGCGTTCATAGTGTTAGCATTAGGCCTGGCTTCAGGCCCAGTGCATACTAATACATATAATATCTTCGTGCTTCATTCTGCCTTGCCACTTCCGCATTGAGAATTTGGAATTTACAGATAGAAACCAAAATCAGCGCAACTCGTGCACGACAATGGATTATTGAACAGAAATCGAACAAATAAATTAAAAGCAAAACCATTGCATCAGTGACTCAAGAATTTATGTTCATTCTCGGAATAATCACTCCTGTTTCTGTTTAAATTGTAGCTGGTCTCGAAAAGTCTTTTCCGGGGCATGTGAAACATTTGTCTTCGAGGCTGTGAATGCTGAGCACTTCATTAAGTGACCCAATTTATCTTAGCGATTTCGGTTCCACTGGCCGCGAAACCCAATCATATCATCTGCTGTCTCCAACCGTCTGGTAGATGGGTCTCATAGATCACAAACCAAAAATCTTGCACTCCCTGTATGGCCAACTTTAATGATTACGCTTTCCATACCTTTTTACCATATAATGGTCTGACCACCTCGACCTATCTTCCAGCCACTACCGGCATCGGAGAACAACATAAGCCGACGATGTCTATCGATAAGCATGTGTTGACTGTATCCCGGCCATTTTGACCTGTTTAAATTCAGTACTTGTTCCACTGACTGACCTCCGGTCCCCAACACGCCTACCTAACTTCAGCAGTGCTCAAACGGCGTTCCTACCATATTCGAGCAGTAGTGCGAAGACACTGATGTTCAAAAAGCGACAGTCTTCGCCTGTCTACTATTCTCAACGACTACGTTTCTGATCCGATTAAAATACTGGATCTGACTGCCGCAGTTTACACTCGACTCTTGACAAACAAACAAAAAAATGCCACACCGACCCCACAGGTGATTGAGACTGGCAAAAGTCAAACGCACCTTCTGTATACGCGACTACGACTCATCTGATCATCTGATGAGATTCAACTACCTAGATATCAAAACCTATCTACAACAGCCATAGCTTCCCAGCAAGAACAAGGTTTGATGCGGAGGACCAACCCATTCCTGCAAAAGCATTTTACTCGTTGTAGTTGGAAACGCATCCCAAAATTATTGCGTTGAAAAGTGGTAAAATGACGGGCTTTTAAACGTGTCGTTTCTGGTTCCTTTTCAGGTTAGATTTCCGTAATTGCAACATCAATCATCAGGAATTTGAGAAACTAAATGAGAGTCACATACCTGATGTGATTCTTGTACTGAGAGCCACTCAATCCACCGATGGGGATGATCTGACTGAGACGCATAGTTCTCGAAGTGTCCCGATCAGCGCTAAGCGAAGACGCCAGGTTTCGGTGGCTGAGTCTTCCACCACTATGGGCACGACGAATGATGTGCGGACTTTGGAGCCCACCCCGCTCGATTCAGGCATGGAACTTTCCGAAGAAAGCGACGACAACAATGGCGAACACTGGTTTGACGTTGCCGAATAGCTTTATGCTTGCTACACACGTAGCCATGCCAGTCATGCAGGACCACCGTGCACTATCAGGGTATGTTTTTCTCTTCAATTGTTGTTCCATGCATGTGTGCGGCTTAAAATTATCCATAGGCATTCTGGAAACTCAAGGTATAAAACTGGCTACTGTCATCTTACTTAGTAGATAGATTGGTTTCTTCGAAGAAGGGGATTTTGTTAAACGGTTTGCGGAGAAAAAAACAGAAAGGCCACACTTCTTTGCGCGGCCAAAGTTATGAACCTCTTTGTATTATCCGCGTACTTCCGCTTCCGTTATCTGGCAAAAACATGTCACAGCGATTTAATGTTTGTACTATACGGCATATCGAATTTCAAAACGAAACTGCGTTGTGCTAATCAGAACAGAAAAAGGTGAAGCACGAGAGTGACGAAAGAATGGGACTCCTATTGGCTCGGCGTCCCAAGCTACTACTTAAAACCTCATCCAACCCTCGCTATACTTGAAAACCTCGATAAATCTCAACTCTTACGAGATGTATGATTGTCCCTCGGTCGGTATTCACTCATTCTGGCTTGAGGGCGGTTGATAATTCATTCTTTGACTGATGAGCCATTGGATGTCTGTACACCCGGTGCAGGTTTGGGTTGCAGGTTGACAACAGCATGACTTTGGTCCCACAGAACAGCAGCCAGCATTTTTTAGTGTATGAGTAGCGGACAGGAGCGTTGTCATGGGTCGTGGCGTCAACTCGTTATCTATTGTACAGTGGCGAGATCGGACACTATCCCAACGTATGAGTGTGCGCTACGAACTTTCGCATACCCTCAAGTATAGCTAGCACACTTTTGACGTTAGCTGACAATCCCATCCCTTATCTGTTGCCGTTTTATTTGCTGAAAATTCTTTCTTTTGTGATGTCATGCTAGTCATAATTCCAAGCAAAAATGTACGTATTTCAACACAGATCTGGTACGAGCATCGTGCCAAAGAGACCAGCGCATAGCAGGAAAAGAATGTACATAAAGGAAAAGGATAGAAAAGTGAGAATTATTTTCCAGTCGCAAGTTGTACTACACGGTATTTTTAGACCCTTTGTGGTTTGTGATACATGAAAGGGCAATGATAAGGAGTCAGTACAGTATTGACTCCGATTTCCGGTCATATTCGTCAGTATTTAACCATTTGTTTTTGGTTTCACTCTTGCTTCAACCTGTTAGACAATAGAGCCCCCACTACGACCAAACTGGAGGTTAATTTTTTTCTAACTTCATCGGTTGTCCACCACGCTGCTGTTTCCAGTCCTGATAAACAAGCGCGAATGAAATCCCTTGAGGCAAACGGTGGACGGACATCCACAAGAAGTGGCGCAGCCACCATAACGGACAAAGCTACATAATTCCTCTAAGTGATGCACAATCCACTCCCGATACTGTCCTTTGCATTTCGCCGGCACTGACATGACGCTGCCATCATACTCGTGCGACCAGTCGTAGACGCTGGTGGTCGAAAATGGTTTGCGGGGGTAGATTTTCTCGAACTGGCCATGTTTTGCATCCATAAAGAAGCATCAAGCAAACTGCGACGTTGTGAATTCGACTCCTTAGAGAGAGCCTGATGTCGTTTGGATAGATATTATCTGTTTACGCTAGGAGAGTCCAGTAACTACCCAGCTGTGTCCATAAGCTATACTGACGTTGGACGGTAAAATTGCATGCAAATGCATTAGTTAAAAAATGCACTCACGTGTAGAATGTTCACGCTGTTAGGTTCCAGAACCCCTCGCGTATCAGGAGGAATCGTGAATGCTTGGTACAAGTCACAAAAATGGAGCAAACCTCTGCAGAGTTATTCAAGCAGTAAAAAACTCGAATAAAAATTAGTTAGTTTCACAAATGCGAAATGTATTACTTTTGTGCACGAAGTGTCATTACTTAATTTCTTGAATTTTCGGATATGGAAAAATGAATAATTGTGTACCGGTAAATTGAAAGTTCCCTGGATTACTTACGCATCCTGTTTTTGAACCTGGAATCCTCGTTCAGTGCATCACTGGCGACTTTCAATCAAATCTCTTGTTCGATCTATCTCACCGTCGATCGCTTCCCAATTCAACCGCTCCCAGAACTACGATAAGTGAAGGAAGTAAAAGATTATTATTCATAATAATAAAATTGCTATTATTGCCAATATTGTTATCGTGATTCCCAGAAGCGAAGTAAGAGTCGTTAAGCTCATGATCCAGTTAGCTAAACTAACGTACATTCAGCCGGTTGTCCGTGCGGTTGATGCACATGGTACCACACCGTAGATGGTTTCGGTGCACGGGTTTAAACCTCACCGAGACTAAGTGCTTCTGGTATCTCGGTCAACGCAATATTCTCTATAACTTACAAGCCGTAAAAATAGAGCAGTATGCCAAACTTCACCATACCATCTGAGATTCTGTTATTCTCTAATCGGATGCATCTCGTGGTGACCACCCGTTGGCTTTCGAATTATCAAACTGACTTGGATCACGAGTTCTCACGTTTTATTTTTCCTGTATGTGTTTAATCCCGGTGCTAAATCTCTTTTTCTTATTGATGGTTCATCGAACCGATCACTGCTACATCGATCGCACTGTGACTTGCTTTTTCTGTCTTATATTCGTTTTCAGGTGATCGTTGTACCTCCATTTTGACTTCCCCCTTACGAGGAGTGACATTTGGGACGTACCCTTTCCTCGTTCATACAACGGATGTATCATTGTGATTTTCCTGTGGATTGAAGTAAATAAAATGTACATTCACAATCTCGATGTGGGTCATTTATCTACGAACTCTGTGAGAATTCTCTGCATTGCCTGATGCGATGCGACGTGTTTTTCCCTAATGGGCTTGTACCAACCGGCGCATATAGAAAAAGGTCTATTATCGGTGTGAACAAGAAAAGTGTTGGTTTACGGTACGACCAATCTAGGTAGACCCTAATGCTTTGAATAAATGCCAGACTTCGAAGGTTATGTAGACCTGATCAATATGAGGGAGAACGGAAGGCATTTCGATGATAAAGATCTGACGAGTTTCGGATATTTAAGAAATGACACTTGGAATCGTTCCATATGATTGTCACATTGTTTGGATGATATATATATATATATATATATATATATATATATATATATATATATATATATATATATGACAATATCACCTCGACTGGTGATGAAACGTTTGCAATCTAAACGTCAAGCTCGGCGATCAGAACATCATGGCAACCAGCAACCTGAGTTACAACTAACAAAAAAAATTAAAACTATTGAGAGAACTTACACTCTTCACTAGGATCTATTTTGAATCTTCTGGAGTATGAATGGATACTCTTTATCAGTGAGTCCACAAGTGAGTCACAACTGTGATTTCTGTTAGTTTTTCGTGTCTGGGTCACTGTTATTCCAACGAGCGATGAGGCTGCATGTGCTCATGTTGATAGTAAGTAGTATGTAAACGTGTAGACAGAATATAGGGCAGCCTTGTTGTCCTCCACTGGAGACGACAAAGGAGGCGAAACCAGACCGTGGGCCCTAATCCGACTTGAGGTGTGACGATAAAACCCTATGAAGATTGATACATAATTCTCGGATACTCCATTTCTAACCAAACGAATCCATAGAGTAATCCCATCGACGGAGTTGAAGGCCGTGTGAATGTCTAAGAACACGATGTTTGTTGGTCTTTGGAAAGTGTGAGGATGCTCCAGCAGTTGTCGGAGAATGGAGATTTGATCGATACATCAATGACCGGCACGAAATCCAACTTGTTCCTTGTGAGTCTGCTCCTCATTCATTTGTTACAACCTACGAAATAGGACAGACGCAAGCGGTTTGAATGCTATTGGGATAAGGTTTACACCTCTATTTTCAGCACGGTCGTGCTTCGTTATGCTCGCTTCCTGCAGGAATTGATTGGCGGGCGTCGAGAAGGCGCAGAGATTCGGGTCTTGAGACTTGACGAGACAGGCCACAACTTACTAGGCCAGCGGAATGCCAAGCACGTTTGGCAAGTGACCACTGCCGGTGTATGTTGTTAGGTGAATCTACATCTAGCTTTTCAGTTAGCGCCTCTAGGAGAACGGATAAGGGAGATGGATTTGAAAGCTCATCGCAGTTTAAACGGCGATATAGCATGCGCTTGGACTACTTACCGAAACACGTTGACAGGTTGATGCGAACTAATGGAAGTGGTTGGAATCAGGGCGGGGGGTGGGATCGAATGCTCTAGTACGAGCGACAGTCGTGTATGCAACTGTGCCACTTGTGGCTTATTGTGTGCTCGATCTGGATCCACCAATGATTCGAAGAGAGAAGACGCCACGTGACACACCGGCGATTACAGCATCTGATGTTCGTACTGGCGATGGTCGGAACACGAGGTCAAAACCGCTCCTCGCTCTCCGAATGACGAATCTAGTTCAAGAGAGCCTTTTCATTGCGCTTCATTTGATGACAGCCGGCCGGTTGTAGCAGTTATATCTCCTTCCAGAATCTTATCAGCCCGGCTTTGCAGATGTCGTGGAGCTTCTTTGGTAAAAGTTATCTCCGATTGCATCTTATTTACAGTCGTTGGGTGCATGCATTGAAACGGAATGGTGACTGCTCACTGCACGAATCCCTGAGTCTTACTGCGCAGGAAAAACTGTCTACTGGGATCCAGCCCAGCAGCACCGCTTCAACTCTTTCAATGAGAGCAATGCTAAATCGGGAATACCGGAGGCCGCAGTTTCAGTATCCCCAGAAAAACGCGAGCTGTTGTATTATTCGGTCTCCCAGTCCAGAGTAGGGAGTTTCATCCAAGGATGCACGTCTAACCTTCGCGCAGCGCGTCCTGCAAGGTAGCAGGGTCGGTCCAGATGATCGAGGGGCCAACTGTGTCGTTCATTCATCTCATCTGAAAACCTCTGGGAGCCGGTGATTGATTGCTCAGTTCATTCGCCCTTCGGATGAGGCTAGACATCCCAGGTCCTTAATTACACCCCTTCGCAAAGTATTGTACGTGTCATACGCCACCTTTGATTGGTGTAATGATTCATTGAACTGGGACAGAGAAACCCAGGTCGCCTAATCGAGGATCTGCGGTAAATTGGTTCTGTTCAGGTCCCATGCTTCCTGTGCTAAAGTTATCTTTTATTGACCAAACTGTTTGCTTCCCCTTTCATGCATTGTCAGCCCTGAATTCCATACCGATCATACCCTCGACCTCCTCAACCGCGTAACAACCGTTGCTTAGTCATACTGCATCACGCAGCGCTGCTCATTCTTGTCTCTATGGCAAGTGTTGATGTACCCCTATTCTCATGAGTCCAACAGTTGTTCTTATCTGTTTGAGTTTATGGTTTACGTTACCTTCCTCCCCGTCGATCTTGTCCGTGTGAACGACTGGACTTAGCCGTCTTCCGCTGATTTCGCTCATTCTGATAGTGACGTTAATCCGCTTGTTCTTCACCCGCGCGCGTGTGTGTTTTACCTCGAATCACTATCTCTTCTGTTCGTTGATTGGCCAAAGGGATCCCATAAATAAGGACCTATTTCGTAAGCTACTTGATTCGTTGTTGTTGTAATGTTGTTTCGAACGTTTCCTATCTATTGTTGCTTGGGCGTCTTGAAGCCTTTCTGGACCGTATTGATTCTGTGGTCGGTTAGTCCACAGTTTGAGGTATGTTATCGTTATTGTTTGACAATCTGTCCTTTAGTACACGTAGTAAAGCGAGCCTGTGTTCTCTGTCTTGGGACTTGGAGTTCGTTTATTTACGAGTCACTCAGTTATGTGACCAAAATCCTGTACCGCTGGTCTGGAATCAAAGTCCAGCCGTCTCCCCTAGACTGACTGTCAGTCGGCCAACCTGGTCGAGAGCTCCAGGCATTCGCCTTCGTCTTGTCATCTTAGTGGGAATTCCTTTGCCACGAGGCGGCGATGAGTAGGACTTCTTCAGCAGAGGCTGTTCGAGACGCGCGGTTATTCGGGAGCATTTCGATAGACGTTGAGGACGACTAGCTCCATCGGATTCTGAGACACTCACCCGCGACCATACTGAGGCATTTGGATGCTAACGGTTCATCCTACAAATATCCGCAATAAAATCCTCAGCGTCAACTGTGATTAGTCTGAACCCTCTGACGTGGACGTGACATCAGTTTGTTCATCCGAATTTGTCCATACACTGAAGCACTTAAAGTAGTTTTCCTATACGTTTTCGAAATAACGCCGTGACATGTGTGTCGGTTTTTCGGCGGCGATGTCTTCGCATTATGGCTCATCTATGGTGTGGTTATTCTGATGATAATGTTGGTGTTGTGCGAATGATTTTGGAAATATGCGATCAACCACTCTACTGGGACGTTTCATTTTCACAGTATACTGATCGGCGGTGGTCAGATGGTGACCATCGTGGACTTTGGACATAACGACCTGGGTTCGACTCCCACAACCGCCGGTTGGCAAATGTCAGACTGCTTTCGTTGCAGGTTACTCTTTAACGTCTTCGAAAGGGAGTGACTGATCTTGTCCAGGGTATCCACCAAGTTTGATCCGGCCTCATAGTTCATATTAGAGAGGGAACTGCTTTTCGCTCGTCTCCTGTTCCAGCAAGGTGCGGAGACCAATCACATATGTTCGGCATTGAGCTTTCAGCACTCCAACTTTTCCTTCTAACTCGCTCTCTTCTCTAGGATATCTTTCCCTTATTTGATCTGCTTGAAATAGAATACGAGTAACATTGGCGCTACTCCCCACATCACCACTAGAGCCATGGCATGAAACAGTATTGCGGGTGACTTGCTCGAGCGTTTGGTTCCTGGTTTGATTCCTCGTTGTCAGCATTCGAAATCCGAATTGCGGAACAAATTATGTATCCTGTCAAATGAAGGCTCGGCAATTGGAGTCTGTCCGTCAGATCTATGAACAATGAGTATCGTAAATTGTCCGTACTACAGACGCGGTGATTTATCATTCGGATATTCATCAGTGTGAGTATAGCCAATTTGAGCACTGTGGTCACTGTGTACTTCGATAAATTTCGGTACTGTACAAGATTGTTGTCCCGTTTTTGAGTGATTCGTAGATAAACGAACCCCGAGCCACGAGGCAGAGAACACAGGCTCACTTTACTACGTGTACTATAGGACAAATTATCAAACAACATTAACATGCCTCAAATTGTGGACAAACCGACCACAGAATCAAAACTGTCAGTGAAGGCTTTAAGACACCCAGGCAACAACAGACGAGAAACGTTCGAGACGGCAACGCAAGCGCGAGTCTAGTGGTTTACAAAGAAGGCTCTTATTTATGGCAGGAATTTTGACCAATCAACGGCCAGAAGAGAAGTAGTGGTCCGAGGGAACACAAGCATGAAGGAGAGCAAACCGAATAGTAAAGCTATGAGAAAGTCCATGATCGTAGCAGATTGACCAAGTACATTCATTCACACAGATAAGGCAGATTGGGAGAAAAAGATAATCGCGTTTAGACGTTTGGACCTTGTCAAGATACCCAGGCAAATATGATCTAATAACGGAACGGGTCGTGGATACTAGCGGATCACTCCAAAACTGGTAAAAACGTTACGATAAAATACGTTTAGAATCATAGTTAAAACGAACAGATAAGATCAACAATTGGACATGCGACAATTAAGGTTAATCGACACCTGTGTTAAAAACAAGGCTAAAAATTGCATGACGTAATGGGACTGAACAAACTAATTATCACGCGAGTGTGGAAGGTAAAGGGTGATGGTTGGCGTGAAAGCTAGTGGTTAAGGTGCATGAAAAACAAACAGATTTTCCGGTAAATCCAAGACAATTGTGATAGATGGCATGGGATCTGGACTAAACCAGCTAAACGGAGTTTCTCGATATAGTAAGCTGAATTTAAATGTCCAATTTCAATAATTTTTGCACTGTTCTTCCGAACTCAGTGTTGATTGCTGGGAGCGTCAGTGATGCTTTGTAAATTTGCGGTGAATCTTTGTTTGGTTCACTGTCTTTTGAACTCCACCTTCCACGCACAAACTTCAGGTCATCCGACCAACCCTACCTTGGGAAGCACCGAACTCGAGTTTTGCTCTTGTTTGTGCTCAGTGGTGCATATCGACCGTCGCACACAGGGTCTGAACCCATGCCTTTTCACCCACTGCGTCACCCCGCTTCCGTCCGGGCTGCTCCGAATCACGAAGTTATGCTTGTTCAGATGTCCTCTATGACAGACAGAAATACCCGACAGCTTCGAATAGGGACACGGTATCTGTCCCGGTAACTCCAAGCCAATACCTCCCACCAAATCGGGTCTTCTCCACAGGATGGGCCAACGTACCCGCATTTAACCTGCTTCGTATTTGGTATATATATATATATATATATATATATATATATATATATATATATATATATATATATATATATATAAACACGCAGTTACTTGCGAGTAGTGGTGAAACAGTGAAAAGCATGTTACACTGGAATCAACACTTCGAGTGTGGCGTGGAACCTCATGCGTACACTTTTCACAGTCGAAGACGATTTAAAGCGTCCGATTTCTTCGCTGCTTTTTCTTTCCGTGCTTTGCATCTGCGCTACTTGTTGATTTTGCTCAAACTCCGCTGCGATGGAGAAACTAACCGCGAGAAGGGCGGCTGGGGACATAATTTGCCCTAATAGTTTCATTAAACCGGAACACCCTATATTACAACAACATAAAAATCTGGAGGCATCCCAGAAGTTTTGCCAATCCTCTGGGTCCGCCTCATCTGCTGAGTCTTATAAATATCCATGGTTAACTCCCGTACCCGGAAAAAATCCTGCATACCCAAGTTGTATTGGGGTGAGCTGTCACAAAATATCTTTGATCAGGTAGACGCTGTGATCATTGTTTGCTGACGTCTTACAAATGGTTGTGATTTCAATCAGCGTTGGGCTTCTGTCCTCAATTACATGACTGACTCTGTTCCATGGGGTCGTCTGATCGTTCTACCTCAACGCGGGGAAGTAAAAACCTGACATCAAAACAGCACTGCTGTAGTTTACAATGAATACCACTGAAATTCCTTGAAAATGTCAGTTTGCTCTGTATACTCTCATTTGCAAGTGACTGTTAGCGCATTTCATTTGTAGTTTGAATTCATCGTTTTTGTGCAATATCAATTAGGGTTCAAGGGGTTTGCTAGCTGACCCCGTGGCTGCGTGTTTATTGTCAGTCGCAAACGTACATGCATAGTCTTATCGTCGACCTGATTTCTCATTCGTTCATTTTTACCACGACCTGTGCCACCTCATATTGGATCTAGATAAACTATAGCAACCAGAACCAAGGCACTCCACCACCGGATTGTTATTTGACTAGGGTAAAGCGAAGACGGTTTTCAAAAGCATCAACTATATCTTATCACGTTTACGCACGAGGCCTATTCTGCTGTTGAGGGTAACCAATAAGCACACCTTGAGATCAGGAGCGGAAAACCGAATAAGGTCTCAATAGGTCAGGTATGGTAACAAGCTGAACGACAATGGTTTACTGTATCTCACTAAAGTGACCAGCAATGGCAGTATTCAAGTCTCCAAGGCGGTAAGCTGGACCGGAAAAGTTCATCGAGTTTGACGGCCAATCGTTGTTGAAATTCCTAGTTATATGGCAATGAGCCTTAGTTTTATTCTGGTGGCTCTACAATTGAGTCGTTGCCTGCGAATGATCAACATTCTAGAGCACCATGTTCTCGGTACAAAAGTCGATTGCAATATACTAGATGATTGGTGTTTTTGCGAGTATCTTAGTGTCAGTGACTTTTGATACTGGTCGTGATAATAGCTCAGGTTGAGGGTTTTCGTAGACTGCAGACTACTGGACTGGTTGTTCGGATCACAAACATCTCACCACAAGTCGGGATAACAACATCATCTGGAGCTTGTCAAAGTAGCCTGGTTTGATCAGTTTCATCTGAACTGAAGAGAAACTTGGTAGATGACGATCTCTTCGACTCCCGTAAGTACGGGTTCAACGAGCAAGAGAAACGGTTTGGACAGGCAAAAACTCACGCAAAAGTTAGCGAATTTCAGCTTGAAAGTTCTCTGAAGATTGTCTGTATGCTGCAACTGACCTTAGGTATTGCGTTAAGAATTATGTGATTCGCCTTTTCTGGGAGTTGTTTGCGTTCATTTTTCCAGACATCGCAAACACAATGAAATGGATAAAACGAAAGAACACATGAACAGCGGGAAATTCAGGCGTTGTTTTAAATGTCCAATTCGAGGGAGATGCAGGGAGAAAAATAGCTCTGAAAACGTTCCCCTTGGGATGTAATTGTTGTATATAATTCATGTGAGATTCGGATCTAGGGCATAGGTGCATTTTCGGGAATACTCTGGATGGGATTTTGTTTTAAACCCACGTGGGAAGAACGCGAATAAACTTAATCTCATTTATCGTCGGATTCCTGTGGACAGGAAAACTTCTCATTCTCTTTCTTCGGACTTGGTCACTGTGAACGAATTGTCAATCATTATCCACAGTGAACCTTGTCAGACTCACGGAATATTTTAGACATGGACAAGCACCAGATGCTAATCTGATCGTTTGATTGATGAACATGCATGTGTAGTATCAAGTGACAGCTGAAAAGGGTACACAGAACGTGGTTTGACCTGTTCTAAATATAAATCCAGTTGAATTCAGGAAATATGAGGTGACTTGGAACAAAGAAAGATTCAATGAAAGTGAATAACTGAAATATGACTCAGCGGGCTTGGATGGAGTTGTTGGTATGGAGCGGCTAGAATTACAGTTTATCTTGTGCTAATGGCTATGACCGATCCTGGTCTGATTGTGGTGGTACGTTGATGGCAGTGAATATTTACACGGTGGCATCGTACTCGCACGCTCTTGCACACGCACGTGATCTTTCCAAGTCCAGATTGATGAGAATTGTGCAAACCAAGACCATAAGAGTTTTGTAGAATAACAAAATCATACTAAATGAACAAAGATGAATATGACACGCCCATATGCACGTAAGACGAATGGACAAGTGAAACGACTATTTGGGAATGAATAGGCTTTTGCGCATCTGTTAGTCGGTGATGAAATGTGATTCAAATATTTGGAAAATGAAACCCGGTAAAAGAAGGAGTCAGTTGCACTGTGGGTGTCGTGCTAGACGTGGCCGGTTGACTCGGACTTGGACCCTCACCACTTGCGTTCACTGTGGGCGGATTCAGTATGAGTGTGGTCCCCGTCAGCGTGGTGCCCTGGGTTATTTTTTGGTGTTTCCAGCTGCCGTGTTTTGGATTTGCCAGTGGTGACTGTGAATGCGATTGCGTTGTGGGAGATGGAGAAACAACAGTGGGAGATTGAATAGGCACCAGCCCGGAAGTGTTGTACCCCGCATGGGATAACGATGTGGTGGTCAGTGCAGGGAGCCCAGTCTGGAGGGGATGCTAACGAGGAGGAAAAAATATAGGTGACCATTAGGAAGGCATACATTTAGGCAGGGAATCTATTTTCTAGAAATACTGGTCGTTGTGAAAATGCGTTGTTCAGTCAAAAGCTTTGGACAAGAAAAGCACTCATTGCTTATTTTCCATCCTGACACAACTTCTGGCTCTGCCAGTAGCACGATTATTTGGCGTTGCTTGTCACTTCAAGACAAATAATTCATTTTTTTGGTTTGTAATTAAACAGTTCGTGTTCACTTATATTAGCGGTGATGATTAACCCCAGTTCCTCAAAGGAAATATTGTTCACCAAACGTTTCCCCCTAACAGGATGTGATCAAAATCGGTTCTAAAACGGATTCTATCCTCAGGTGAGACTCACACCACGGATCGTCGTTCCTGTTTCCACACCGTACTAGCCACGAATAGGCATTCACCAGCCAAGGAGGCCTAGGGAATGTTTCAGTTTTCACAATACGAATAACCGATTTTCTTGCAAAAGTAGTCTCCTATCTACCTATCCGGACTGCATTCTGTACCTCATCCCAGAAAATGGTACTTCTGGATTCGCCCCTGTTTCAAGTCTCAGTTTTTGTTCGTGGAAAACAAGTGTTTTACCTACTAACTGTGACAACTCAGTGATTTCTGCTAGCCGTAAACACGACAGTCTATCATTTTTATGATATGGTCGCACATAGATACGTCGACAGGGGCATCCCACAGATTCAAAGGCATACCGCACTAAGAGGAACACTGAGGGGTCGTGACCCACAGACTTGGAGTGGAGAACCACACGGTCCCAATAGGTCACTCCGGGTAATGATTCGGGCGGCAGTGGAATGCTATGTACCAACGAGATGACCGGCGGTGTCTGGGGTTCGTACCTTTTAGCAGCTACATCGCCTGTTTCCTCTCATCACTGCCATTCAGCGGGCAAATCGAAGATTTTGATAGCGGTTGTCTTGAAGTTTTATTTGTAAAAACAACCAGCATTCCGGTTACCTCCGGTAATCAAATCGTGCACATCAGTTTTCCGAAAATGGAAACATTGCCTTACTAAACACTGCAGTATTTGGTTGTCTCGAGAGAAAGACAGTGATAAGCGTCAACCTTTGCTCTTGCATAAAAATTGGATGTCTGCCCTAGCGCATCTGATGCTTTTGGATCGAATCAAACGGCCGGGGATGTAAGGCCAATAAGGCAACTGATGCGATGGCTTACCTGTATGCATAGAAAATCTTCCGCCATTTAAGTTATATTTTCGAGGTAATATGCTCCTGGTTTGATCGTCCATACCTGATAACGATTTCCGATTCCTCCGCGATATATATATATATATATATATATATATATATATATATATATACATAACCAAGGGTGAATCGTCATTGAAATACACTAGCATGTGAACTTGTAAATACATGAACGCTTGTGATTGTGAGGTTGGGTCTATTGACAGAGGTGCACATTACAACACCTCCAGAATGAAGTCTGATACCGACAACCTTGGCAATCAGTACCCACCCTGCATGCAGTAATCGAAACGATGGGGCAGGTATATTACCATCTGGACAACACTAAGCCCATTGAAAAACAAACACCTAGGTGGTCACAATTTTCATTTGACCTCGCGATAATGGAAATGGTTGAAAATGAAGCTTAATCCACCCAACCACCACACACCTAAATAATACACTTGCATGTAAAAACACATGGAAATTTTTGAGACGATTGAATTTGCAAAGGTCGATGAACCCATCGGTGTTCGAACTCCGAATAGCTACCGCCCCCGCTACAATACCGCGACTGATCTACCAGCTAAACTTCACTGTCACACATGACGGCCTTGGAGGTTTTGCACATGGATCCTGTAGTTTAGCTACCCAAATTTCAGTAACCCATGGCATTTGCCACAGTAAACTAAATTGTATTCTGACTGCCTGCTTCACCTTAGAGTCATTTAACGGTAAACCCACCCTGGAAAAGGTTACGAACGGTAACCAAAGTGTTGGCTAATTCTAATCTCCACGGACAGCACTGTTTTTGACATTAGCATACTGAAAAAACGCTTTTTACTCCCAAAAAGAATGGATTCATATTGCATGTGTCCACTGAATTCACGACAGTTTTATCGGTCTGATTCATGCTTCATTGTTCGCAACTTAATAACTTCATGCAAGCTAATTATTCTTTCGTTGAAAGCTGCGGCTTGTGGTCAGCGAAGATTCTTACATACCCTTGAGCATATTTTGAGAAACGTAACCCCTGTACTTATTTAAATGTATTTCTCACGAAAATAGGTTTTTATAAAGGCGGGTCTGGACCTATTGTGAATCATCGGGAAACTTTCGTACAACCACATAGTCATGGTCGTCATTGTTTTTCGGTAGTTATGGCAACCCATCGTATAATATACGCTGTGATATGCGTCTTTGTTTCTCCCTCGATCAAGATGGCATGGATCTATCTTATATCACTTACTGGATCATGTGAATCAGAGGAAATAATGTGAATGAGTGGATTCTTATGGCCTTATAGCAATGGGTGTAGTTTTACGGATGCGACCGAATCAAAACGCTCGCGAAACTGCTCCATTTGAATGAAATTCAGTCATTGAAGAAAATTGTATGCGTTATCCTGATTCTAATAGAGTTTTTTAGTTTGGGGAATGTATTAGGTAGTACAAGCAGTCAGTCTTTATCGTTACTCCCATTTCCGGCAAATTTCAGTGTATTTTACTGTGGATTCATGTATCTGCCTGACAATAGATTTCAAAGATGTGCCCTTTTTGATCAACACCAGTTTTATACTGATATAGATATTGATTCACTGTTGGTATTCCCGTAAAATTAATCTGTCACGGATCAACTAGACGTTTTAGTTTCATAAACTACCCCTTATATGAGTTCTTCATAAACTAGAAAAAGCAGTTTAGGATCAAGTAGTCATTTTCGAACAATTGGCTGTTGCTAACTTGCACATTCCCAAAACAGACACGGATCGAAATTAGACAAGCAACATAACGCCGTGTACTCCCAACTTACATGATGAAAGCCTTGACCGACTACGCCAGATCCAAACCAACTGTTCCGGTTCATATTGTTTGCGAAACCCAGTGGAGTAGGAACCTGTGTGTTCTGAGGGGAACCACACTCATTCTGAGGTGTAGTAGAACCCTGTACTCGGAACGGTGTCTCCACCTGACTTTGGGCTTGTGGTTGCAATGACTGTGTCTGACCAGCGACGGCGACAGCGTTGCTTGTTGCCGGTGTCGTTATTGTCGTTGAATTCGAGATAAAGCCGATTGCAGGTTTTCGGCGCTGTGCCCCAAAGCTCAGTCCCATTGCACCCAATGGTTTAGTTGTCGGTGCAAAACTTGGTCCACGTTCCTTTATTTTGGTTGTCGTCGTGCCTGCAGTGGTCCAATGCCCGTCACCTCCAGCTCCGGGAACTGAACGGAGTTCAACACTAGTGTATTGGGCTTGTTTACCATGTAAATCCATGTAGGCGTGCTTGAGCAGAGCTTCACTGTTTAATCGTTCTGTAGGGTCCATTTCCAAGCAACCCTGTGCATAAATAATAAAATGTGCGTTTATACAAATTCCTTTGCACAGTTTTATTCCTTCAGTATTGGCTAGTATTTCTTCACGGTAACATGTGTATAATGGCAAATAAGTTGAGATAGTGAGCCTATGACGTGCCAGGTATGAAAAACGGGCTTCTTTGAGGCCTACAGAATGAGGTACACGGCATTTATTTTCTTGATGGTAGGTGATATGAGACTAAACGACCCAGCGTCGCGGTCAGTGTGGTGTTTTTCTCTTTCTCCAAGATCGCTGATTTTCAAATTTCCTGCTTCGCTTCCTCGTTCACATTCAACTGAGTGTCACTCCGGCTAATCAGCTTAGATCGGGGCACGTGACGCGTATAGTTGGAGAACCTCATATTGAAAACTGCCTGTTCTAATGTTACTCGCATTGTCTGAACGTCTTAAACCTACCAGTCATTGATGGCTAGATCAAAAAACGTCTTATCTTGTCTTCAGCCTGCCTCGCACATGCAGTTATAGTGATAAAAAATGATGGGCACGTATTCCATATCGCATACGTCCCACCATTACCCTAAGTAAAAGCAACAATAAAAGGCGCAATAAGTTAGTGTCGTTTCTCTATAGCGAAATTGTTTTTTTTCTTCAGGACAAAATACGCATCCCGTCTTGACCGGAATTGTTTGAATAAACTAGCCTCAGTGGACCTACATGTTTTGAGGTTACCAACCAAACATGGAGTCGATAGACAGGTACAAATGGATTGACCTTAAAACATTCACCTCGGAAGAAACAAATTTTCCGGTTTGTGCGCTTTTGCTCTAGAGAAAAATTTGGTTGAATGCTGATCTGACCAGGGAACACATCAGCTGCACTTGGTTTGGTGTGTGCTAGGTGTTACCCTCAGTGCTATATAATTTGACCCACAGAAAGATGCATCGCAAATTAAAGATCAATTTCCGTACACCAAGACTGTTTCACGGTTTGATCATAGTGAAAGGGCGAACACAGAAGTGAAACCAGTTATATTTCGTAGTCCACAATCATCATAGGATCGTTCGTCGAAATAAACGAATTTCAAACTACTGGGCAGGGGAATCCTAACTTTCAGAATAAGTTCCTCATTAGGTGGTTTGGTGGCTATCTCTTGGAAGGAAAGTTACCCCTGAAGACGAGGCACAGACTTAAATTTTTTATCAGATTCCAGATGATTAACAGTGATGAGGGCAAAATGGGTGGGTAAATATAATCAAAATATAATTCTGCAGCTAATTTAGCGTGAAAAAATGATAAAATAAATGAGAGGAAAGATTTCGGAATCCTTTAACCGATGCTATGACTGAATCCAAATTTGGTACTAAAATGCGGGCTACCAACTGTCAAAATCCACTCAACAAATCTGGAAACAGGTTTTCCCTAGGATTCATCCAAACCAAACTTGTTCATCGAAAAGTTCTCAGGCTTTTTATACCCATTCCGTTTACCCAGTGATCCTGAAAGGCTTTCTCAGTTTTGATTGCCAGGATTGCGTGAGTTCGTATATTCATATATTGACATCTTGCACTAGGTTGTAATCAGCTTGGTGTCGACGCGACAGCATTAACAGTAAAGGAACAAAAATAAATACACCAGGATGGGGAAAGCGGTACAGTTTGCAAGGAATTTTGGTCCTGTGTGTTTGCGGCAAACGACAATACAACAAACAGACCGTACATAATTCGGACCACTGATTTCTGTTCTGAGCTACCTTCCTCAACGTCTGTAGCAACTGCCAGTGACCGAGCGAGTCTGAGCTTTTGCTTTTCATCTCGGAGATCAGAGGTTCGAATCTCCGAAATCACCGGTTAGTTTGGTGTTAGACAGTAATTTACCGTTGTTCTGCTCGTTATCATACCTGACCTGCTGGGACCTTATATGGTTCTTTGCTCCAAGACTCAGGGTCTGATGGTCCGTTATCTCTAATACTGCAGTGAGCCATTGCGGCTACGACGTATATCCCTTCCACTTCACTCCTGTATAAACCAGCAGAAAAACGATAATCCTCATCCCTTGTGCCCAAACTAGGAAGGCTGGAAGCGTCAACTGAATCGGTAGCTGACGTTAGGCTCTTCATATCCGTGATCCACTTCGTGGCCGAACCGCCGCATCGGTTCTTCCAACTTTAGCCAACACAAGCAAATAGAACACGGGGTGCTTGCCAATGGGCAGGGATACACAAAACGACCGAGCCGTCGGAAGCGGCGTAGAGCGATTATCTTGGTCAGAGGGCAACTGCCTGTACCTAAGAGACGTTGACGAACTTCGTCATTGCTCGCTAGATATTCCAATCAGAAGCTATAAATGCTTCGAAGACAATATTATTTAGATATGGAAAGTCATGGAGCATCCTCAATACGGAGTGGTCGGGTTTCACATCTGTACAGTCAGGCTCTGCCTTGGTGCAGGGGCATGACGAAGTTAGCTTCGGCTTTGGGTTTGGCTTCGGCTGGTGCTATCCGCCTTCCTGGATGGGGCCCAAGAGGATGGTTGCTGTTGGTTAGAGAGGCTGAGAGATGTGGCTCAGGACCGAATCCAGCGGCGCGAATGTTGTACGGCCTGTCTGTTGACTTCCCGTTCCCATAAGCAATTGAAAAATGGACAAAAAATCTACAGAACATGTACGGTGAAAATACTAAAAAACAAAACTATTTTACATATCGTAATCTTTAGGATGACTCTTAATGCCCAGCCCCTCGACTTTGTAATTTTTCTGCGTTGTCGTTGCGTTGGCGCCATGCTTGTTCTCAAGCCGGTGATATATATATATATATATTATATATATATATATATATATTATATATATATATATATATATATATATATATATATATAGTAAAACAGTGAGAGGCGGCGGTACAAAACCGTCAGCTGAAGTTAAGTCGGATGTCACATGGACGTCACAGATTTCACTGTTTCCTGAAATATGCTTTGGCTTTTTATATTCTTGGTTTGATCGCCTCCCCAACACTACCTCCAATTGCAGTGAAGCTTCCAAGGCGCTTTAAGCTATCAGCTAACTTTGACTGATAGTAAAGAATGAGTATAAGCACAAACTCCTGCCGGTCTCTTGAAAGCACTCCGCATATGGGAGGCGAAAAGTACATACCGTATCTGGACACTTCAATTGCCATGTGGTTCAAAGCGTGTTGCCTTGCCTATTCGTTATCACTGAGTAAAGTAATATCTTTGGTTTACTCTAAGTCGAAATCTCTGTTCTCTAGGAGGAGTTTAACTCCACCGTTTATTAGATCAGACAAGGTAGAACATCATCTATGGCAAAGTTGAAGAGCAATAGAGATATAGGGTGACCTTATCTCACATCACTGGATACAATAAAACGGAGTGAAAGCTGACCATAAGCTCCAACCCGATGTCGTATGATGATAAAATGTTTTGGGGCCGGTAAATACGTATGAGATACTCCATTTTCCAGCGAACAAATCCACGTTGCGATCCTATTGACAGAGTCAAAGGCCTTGAGATTGTTCGGGAACACGATAATCGTTGGTCTTTGGAAGGCACAGCGATGCTCTAGCACTTGTCAGAGCTTCCCTTAAACAAAGAGAGGATTCGCTTCTGACTTGTACAAAGATTTTGACTGCTCCATAAGTAACCTCTGTCCGGTTTCCCCCTCCATTTGTTCCAGTTGCATTAGAGTTGAACTCCAATGTGGCTTGTTCTGATAACGGGACTTTTGGACATCATTCAATCCAGCAATCAGGTGCGTGTTCTGTGCTGCTTTTGGAGTGAGTGTCAAAGCCGTTACATACAGCTGCAGGACATGTTGTATTTCAGTTTGAATACATAAGTCGGAATCCCAATATTGTACGATTTATGTCCAGGGCGAATTCTGTGCATCTCTACACAGTGCATACTACAGACAACAGTTAATACCACAGTTTATACACGATTGAAAGCATGAAAATGAAATAAAGAATATGTGTGTTTCACCATGATAAACGTAATGCCACACAATTCTTTCTGTCTACACAGAGGTGGTTTCCGTATTTTAATTGTTATCGCTTCGGCCAGTTGTAACAGTTAATTGTTTTAGTTGTTCACAAGTACTCAGAAATGACGATTGTTAGAAGAGGTACATCACCGTTTTCAAAACGCCTCATTGAAAAATGAAAAATCTATACTGAAAGGTTGGCGTATAAGATACATACAGGAAAACAGCAGTTTTCGACAAAATGAAACGAAATACGGGGTAGTAATTACCCGACGGCCTCTACTGTGCCCAACATGGGAGACCAAGCAGTAAAGTATTTCAGTTGCTGACTCAGGAGAAAGCAAGATATTTTAGCCATAAGTAACCACATTCTTTCCTTCAGTAAATCCGTACTACATTCTTTATGATGTTTCCGTAACTATTTAATAAAGTTCAGCTTCATGAATTTTGAAGAATTTTTAATCGATCGAAATGCAACACGCGAAAGAACCTTATTGTTAACATTTCCCGGGGTTCGTTTGGATTCAATAACCAGTGAGAACTTTGAGCGTCCGGCCCAGGTAATCGACCATAGAACCATCAGATGAACGGTTATCTAAAACAGTATTGTTGACCGGGATGTCAGCAGACCCTAAATGAAGCCATCGGTATAAAAGAACATAAATAACGCAGTCAAAGACGAAATCACCAACCTGTAAAAAACTTATTTCCTTTGCAGTAATTGCCGGTTGCAGCGTCTTGAATTTTTCCTCAAGTTTATTCTGCAGTTGGAGATAAAAATCGTATTATGGTCAAATTTGAACTTGTTTATCGCTAATGAGTGCAGTCATACCACGATAGACTGAATGAAAAAGGCATTTTTATTCTGACGGTGTAACCATTGACTGTCCATGATTTTTATTATACATAAAATGACTTACAGTATATGGGCATACCCCATAGCCAAAATAGTTACGGCAAGAGGAACTTCGGGGGAACATTCCCGTCAGAACTAGCTTGCTAATACTGCTTCTAAAGAAGAAATGGTTGTAGGTAGGTGTAGATGAAGAGTGAGGTAGATTGTGCCAAATTTTGGCGGTTCGAGGAATGTCGAAGTTTGAAAGATGGAGGTATGACATCCGGGGGATAGAAACCCGACAATGATGATTAGCCTCCTGTGTACGAGAATCGTCACCCAGCCCGATGGCCTTAAATTGAACCCGATCACGAAGAAAAATGGGCACGGGACGAAGCCCCACTACACGCATGACTGTATCGTTCGAGTACATATATGATGCACGAGATGCTTTGAACCCACCCTTAGACAAACCGCAACAACAACCAGCTGGTTGTAAAACTGTGCTATATTTTTAACGAGGTTGGCTGTGAAGGTTATTTCGAACTTTGATGTCGCGGGTTTCCGAGGGATAAGCCGTCCATCACAGTAATCGATCTTTGTATGGTCAATGGGTGGTCACCCCTCGAAAGTCGTGTGACAAGGTCAATATATCATGTATTGGTGAAGTTAGACGACCTACTGAGGTTCATCTCGGACAGCCTAGGGGTTAACTGTTCAAGTCACACTGGGGGTTCGTTGGATATGCATTGCTGATGGTTCATAACAAGGATGTGCAGTGCTTCTAGGGGTTTTCAGGGCGAGCTAAGCTTTATTACTGTCTGATGAATCCCTTGATATATATATATATATATATATATATATATATATATATATATATATATATACATATATATATATATATATATAGCGTTGATGGAAATATGGTTTTGTCAAAAGACAAACGTGAAGACAAAATGGGAGACCAACGTTTCGACCGACCTAAACCGTCACTTTCGTCGGTCATATGCGTGCTGCTTAGACCGTCCTCGGGCACAATATTGAGATTCTAGCCGAAGGAGTCTTTCGCATAGGGAAATCACCATATTTGGGCTTTATGAGCTTTACAGAGAGTCAAAAATATTACGGCTTGGATTTTGTCAACTACATTTACCCATCCATCATTTCTCGGCTGTATCTTTTCACAATGTGAAGTAGATGGGCCTTTCAATGTACTATGATCGCTGACGACAGAAACCTTTTTTTAATCATTATTGAGCCAGCATCTGTCGTTAACATCGATCACCATTAGTCAAAGGGATTGTATCAAATCGGCCTTAAAAAGAAATAAAAGGCTTTTGATCAGCTCGAAATTGTAATGAACGAGAGGTAGAATTGGATGGGTCTTCAAATTTCCAGTTCACGGCTTGAAAACAGACTAATAGCACTGTTTCCTTTTTGATATTGGGCATCAAAATCGAGCTCTCAACCGGATCGCTGTTGTGCCTGCTCTAATGAGGCTTCAAATAGCCCTCTACTTTACATCTAAGAAAATTGGTTTGCTGTTCTATCCGACGATGGGTTGAACATTTGTGACCAGGGGGAATGTGGTCACTCTTGCTGCATCCATGTGTAAGCGCGAAACGATAAACCGTTCGAGTGAGACAATAGAACATTAGATACTACAATGTTAATTGTATGATGGGAGATTCCTGGATAAGAAACCAACTAATAGCAACATATTCAGCTTATTTTTGCATGGATGTGACTGCAATGTGGAAGTGGATATGATGCCATCTGAACGGCGATAAGTTGATTCTTATCCCCACCTTGAACAGTTTAGATTGATGCGGATAAATGTGTTCTCTTGAGCGTAGTCAGTAACAGTTTGAATAAACTAGGCTTAGTTTCATGCACTGAAATTGTGCCGGTAACGTCTTATTACCCTAGTCTTCGTAAGCGTCTCAACTGGTTGTGCTCTTGTGGGCGGCACTTGAATGTTTTGTCAGACTACGTTTTATGATCCGTTCCCACCAAATCGGTGGTGATCGTAACTATATTGATGGAGAACAAATGAATGTGGCGTTTAAGCCCGTTTTAGTTATTCGTAGTCACACCAGTACACAACAATACATGACTCGGAAAACCACTAAGAAAATGAAGGGTTGCAATTTTAATGACTCAAATCTGTCTCCGTGCAATTAATCTCAGTGGTTGCGCAGGGGCTGGGAAACAAGTATTACGCCAAGGAAGAATAATTGTTTATGCAGATTTTCACTTGACCAGAATGACCTGAGAAATAAAATATTGTCCCCTGCAAAGGAGAAAGCGATCTGATTATGCAGTTCCCCCACACACAACTGTGTTCGAAAAATGTCTGCAGAGCCCTGACTCACGTATCCCAAGTGCTCCCACTTAACGCGCCTGTCGGAACTCTCACTCCACCGGTAATTATCACCAAGAGCTCAGTCAATGTGTGAAAGTTGATAGCCTCACTCCCCCGACCCAAAAAATGCCTTGAAACACGTTGTCTCCATAAAATAAACAATCAACATTCCCATCTCCTTACATTGCCACCTGAGTTACACAGTGTACTGTAATGAGCCAGTAGACGGAGCAGTGAAATCAAGTTTGTTCGCTAAGCTGTTGTTCTTCCAACACAAAGTGGCAGACAATATCAAGTCTAATCCTAAGTGCAATCTTAAGCAATATCGACATTTTGTCGAAAACGGAGGCAAATTTAACGATGATCACCGACTGCAAACCGTAGAATGTATGAGAGCAGTAAAATCACACTCTTTATTTGTGTATCCAGCAGGATTAGGTTATGCATCCGAATTGCCCCATTTCTCCTATTGGTTTTCCTTGGAGCAGGACATGTTGAAAAATTAGTTTGTACAAATCCCTCAAGGCGCTCATATGGTTGATTCAACTGAATTTATTTAGTAATGAAACCTTTATGGAGGAAGCCAAACGTCACCAAACTAACCTTGTTTTCCGTAACTTGCAGTTTGTATCCCTTAAAGAAGAGATTCTTTTCGAAAATTTCGCGATGCCTTGGAACAAGATCACCTATAAGAGAAGTTTTACAATCAAGAGAGTTTTGTCGTGTATTTCAGTTACCGATGCTGCATCGATTATAATGGCTCAGTAGGTGAAACTATTATCAAAATGCGATGCAAAGTGGTTGTGTGAAATCGCTCTATTCCGCGCAAAAAGCAGCTGCGATATCATTTGAACAAGTAACAATTGGTCGAGTTCGGCAAAATAATTTCGGCGGCATTTTCAAAATAAACTCAAAATAGAAACTTCCTACCAACTGCGTTGACTATATTGCCGAAATGAAAATACTGGGCATAGAAAAAAACCTCTGATTAGTGTTACATTATATATAGACACAGTTTGTCAAATAAACCCATATTTTTCTGCAGTTCGAAAGTAAGGTGACATTGATCAGAATCCTAAGCGATACTGTTCAGTGATGAATGTGTTCATATTTTCTGATCAGTGCAAAAAGACTACTGAATAACGGTCGTCAAATTAGGTTAGTAATTTTAGGGTCCTAGGTTCTAATCGTGCAATCGCTAGTCAATTTCTTCCTTCATGAGCCTCTGTTTGGTCACTTCCCACTTCAGGTATACCGCGGCACCCTTTTACTACTGGAAAATTTACTAAAATATATTAGAAACTGATGGTGATATTTTCAATTCACCATAACCCATATCATGTGCGATGTTTTAGTGAATGTCTAAAAAGCGGCTACTGTTCTGTTGTCCCCCTGGATGTATATCTATCCATGCCGTCTTCAGTTCAAATGTTCACCATTTGTTTTTCTGTGGGAAATACCGTAGTTCCCTGTGAAGCATCTATTGCCGTCTCCCACTCCACGATGGTGATCATTAATTTGATGACTAGTATGGTGATCTTGACGGCAATTACTAAATATGTCGTTGATATTATAACTTACATAATGGTTACTATGATAGATTTCAGGATTGCCCTGAGTAAACATGTAGCAAAATAACTCTACTAGCACTTTGGATTTCACCACATCAGTTTTATTCGTTTTCATTATCCAAAGCCAACTGTGCCCAGCAGCTGCTACTGGACGACAACCATCGATCAACTTTCCAAGCAGAATTATCCACTAGGTTATCGATGTAGTTAAATGCCCAGGATCCAGAGGAGCGATAGACAGAGATCCAGAGGCGTTTGTTTGAGGCTACGGATTCAGTCCATGGTCAAACGATCAGACACACACAGAAATGATGGATATCTGCATCCTCAGCTGTACTGTTAGGTACTCGCAAATCGATTCCTGTGGATTCCAGATATGATGATACAAAGAGATACCTTAAATGCCAACTGATTCGAAGCCTGATAAACGACTGTGAGCGGTGGTGGATTGTGAAGTGTAGTGAGATAGATAGAAAAGGCCGTGGCGATTGGCAACAGCCACACTCTTCTCAGTCTAACTAGGAACACCGGTCCACGAAAGCCAAGCGTTGGCAAAGTGATCAAAAAGGCGAACGGCTCACTGATTCAAAACTCAGAAACGGCCTAGTTTTTCAGATAAAACTTTTCGAGAAGCGGTTTAATTGGCCGTTATCCTCGACAGGTTTGCTAACTAGCGCGATGGGTATAGCTCCAGTTTTAGGTACCAATCATCCCTCGGAAGTTGAGGTACTTTGTGAGATAAGCTATCTTAATTAACACAAGAATGCCTGACCGTCTATTTTCAAAGACGGTGGCCTAACGCTTTTAGTAGAGTTGACTAAACTCCTCGGTTTGATATGGGAGAAGGAGCAAGTTCCAAAGAGTTGATGTGAATCGGCGGTGGTACTGATTCACGAAAAAAGCGATAGGTCCACATGTATAAACCACAAGAAAACATGTCTGGTTTGCATGGCACCTAAACTTCTCGCGGGTATTATTCTTCGTCGCTTTTCGAAAGATCGCTCACAGTACTCACTCGAGAATCAATTTGATTTTAGACCCGATGGTGCGTTCGTCACGGCTCCACTCTTCGAAAACATTTTTAGAACGTGAGCACACCTCTCGTTGGCCTACAGTCGCTGTTTTTTTTCTTGATCAAAATGCGGCCTTCGACTCAGTCGATAGCACAGTTCTCTGGCTTTGTCCTTTTTTGAAAGGTTCACTAGAGAAATCCACTTCGATCATGAAGTCCCTTTATATGAACAGCCAAAGCTGAGTACGAGCTCATGGTGATCTTCCATTCGAGCTCACCACAAAATGTGATGTACGTCAGGATTAACCGCTCTCTTCTTTCCTCTTCAACTTTGTCATTTATACGGTCCTGGAGACCGCGATTTTGTCGTGCGAGGATAGTGACGTTTAGCATTTGCGCGGATTGAAAAGTGTCATACCCTGGATATGCGGACGACATAGTTCTTTCAAGTGTAGATCCAGGTGGGTTGGGAACTTTTCTAGACGGTTTGATAAACTGCGTAGCAATGTTCGGTATGCATTTTACATCTTCACAGTTTAAGATGTTGTCGTGGGACTGGGCTGGTCCAACGGCAAAGCTTTCCATGTCCGGGTAGACTATAGTCCATGTAGACAAGTTTTGTTATCTGAGCAGCTGCATTTCACCCGAGGGTCAGATATCGGATGAGGTTTATTTGCGTTTACAGAAAGCTGGTTTGGCATCCGCCAACCTGAGTCATCTGTGGCGTGAACATGACATCCGTTTATCTATCAGGGGTCGAATGTACTCTGCAGCAGTCAGACTAATGCTTCTGTATGGTTCAGTAAAAAAAAGACCACAGAGGAGGATATCCGAATATTGTCGGTATTTGAACACCGATGTTTTTGTAGCATTATTTGAATCTGATGAGAATACCTTGCAAGCAATGCTGAAGTCCGGCGGAGAGTCTTGGATTCAAGAATCAACTCTTTACATGAAACACTTAAGCTCTCCATGCTTAAATGTTCGGGACATGTGTTAAGCATGACACCTGAAAGGATCCCTCGGCGTGATATATTTGCTGAGGTGAGTACCGGCCGGAAGGTGAAAAAAGGTAGCAAGTTCACGTCGTGGAAGAAATGTATGAAAATCCTAACCAGTGGACTTGACTTTGTATGTTTGGCTTCCTGGGTGTGGTTCAAAAGACTCTCTTACACTACGATTAGGTGTCGTGATCAGTGGCGCTCTTGTATCCATAGACTTTCATCACCAACTGGATATTAATAATTGTAGTTCTATTCTTATTCCTTTCATATTCTTTTTATCAGTACCTTTTTTAGGATGCTGCCAGGAGATAGCAACCAAAGCCACCGAACCCAGGTCATGGATAATGGCTGTCTGCACTGCACTTTTAGCACATTATTTGTCGCGTACTGTTATTGTTGTACGATTGCACAGCAGAAGGATTCTATTTAGCGGATCACAAGCGGTTGATCTAATTGATGTGAGAGACGTATAAACCTCGAACGTTTTACAGCAAACAGTATTTCTGTGCTACACAATTTAACAAAACATTGTTCAAATTTTAAGAAGAGCCAACTTTGGACCGCTTCAAATTTAGTCAGAATTTTTTACAATAAAAGCCAGAGTTAGAAGCTTTAGTCAACATAAATACCGTATGAGTAGTACGAGACTAGATTTTACGTAACATGAGATTCGTCATGCGGTGTAAACGTTCAAACCATTGAAAGCCATGGAAGCACTGTACAGCTGTACTATCAGTACTGTTTGGTACGCGACCAAATTATTTTGCCGGTAGTTTGCAACTAAACTGGCTATTCTCTAACTTTTTTCCAGTTCATCTAACACAATTTCAGCCACAACTGGATAGACTTCACGTGTCTTTCATGCCGATCCGATAGTACAACGAACCCTAATCAGCAGACTAAAAAGACAGCCAGTCTTGTTAATGTTGTTGGCGGTTCACGTTGACGGAAGGGTTATATGTGGAAGCTGAATGCTCGTTTCACTGTACACAAACGCATTTGTCTGAATTGATCAACTGACTGACTGAATTAAAATCCGCTTTCAGCTAACGTGGCAAACAATTTGTTAGTTATATGTGCTCCATTCAATAATACGGTTATCTCTTCGATTCATGTGGAATTCGTCTAGGAACTAGGAGCAGATAATCTCTCTTAAAGAGGAGATTAGACATATGGCCTTTTTTGTTTGTCTGTCACATTATTTGTATACATGAATAGTTTAACCACATCTCTACATTTATGACACAGTCATCATTACCTTAACTACCACCTAAGTGTTTCAATTTAGGGAAGCACGTAAGCTGTTTTACCTAATAAGCTCCCATTCACTCATTTTTTAAAAATTTATGAGGTATCACTCATCAAATCACTGTTATTATCATACGACTCTACTCGAAGAGTGCATGGCCGTCAAGCAACAACTTATAAGTGATGTACATCAATCATTACCAACAAATGGAACACGGAAGGGCTTATTCGCTTAAGAATGATCATTGTGGTTGTTCCCACCATTCAGTAAGTGGATGGACGGCGTCATTGTAGTCTGCCGATGCCGCTCTTATTTATGTTCTCTTACGTTCGGGGTCAAGATTGAAATCCTCCACTCGATGGTCCAAAATTCTTTAACTGATTCGAGGACAAATTGATATGGCTACAATCGATGACTTTGAACCAGAGGAACAGGAAGTCGGAGGCTCTGCTCTCGTCAATATAAGAAACTTTTCGACTTCATTTGTAGGAGCTTCTTAACGGATAAAATAATCTTCCTGAAAATTTACATTAGGACCCTGGAACGGGTTTGGTACCACTTCACTATATGGTTTCCCAAACTTAGGGGACCGAATTACGTGCAGTATATAAAGGAACTGGATCTGTCCTTGCTTAAGAAAAGGAGACTCATAAGAGAATTTATTGGGACTGAATATTCACATTCGTACGCATTCACTTGGTCTTACTTTAAGTCCTCTAACAGGGATCCGTTCTGGTTAACCACAGTGAAGCATACCCGATAAAGTGAAAGCTGAAAAATGAGAATCAGGATTCGTCTGCGGGGCAAACTGCCCTTTGTAAAAGTTGCCAGGAGTCGAACAAACTTTCCAATGAAGGTAACACCTAGTCATCTTTTGTGGTTTTAAAGCAGATACTGAATCGTTTATGGGGAACGGTGTTTGCACAATAGAGTGACGGACTAGCGGTTTCAGTCTCATTTTTCCTATGTGTATTTTGAATATTCCCCGCATGATTTCCCCCTCTGGATGTCATTGTTTAGAATGCTTTTCTCTCCCGTCTCCCGATTTTTTCATCTATTTCGCCTTTTTGTTTGTCAAGCTTGCAGCTGAAAACAAACCAGCAGGGCTGATCTTTTGAATCTCCTTTGATTAGGGCACGGAAGATAGATACTCTAATTTATCGTACTGTTTACTAGTTCACCACAAAAGACCATACTCTTCTTTTTGTCGCTTCAATCAAGGAGCTCACTTAGCATAGCGATGTCTGCCTTCCTTGAACCCGGCAGAAACGACTTGTGATGATGGGCAATTTTTCATACTCACCAATGCGGGTCCTTGCACATCACATGGGCATTAGTTTGGCATTTTAGCTAATCGCCGGAAATACCTAACCACTTCTGAATCGCTACCCTCTGCTGCACGCGCTGATAGTTTTCAAGCATTTCCATGCGATCTGACACAGCTCTCATCCACAGTTTTGTTGTCGAATGGTCTGGAGATATTTGTTTGTTTACTGATAGTAAAACTAATGGTTATATAAACCTCTTCCGACTATTCGGCAGAATTATTTTCCTATTAAAATCTGTTATTGAACTTTCAGGCGTGATCATATAATCTGCTCAAGCAAATTATGAAGTGGACTAGTAAGCCAGACAGATTCCGGCAATCCTGATCACTACCCCTATTTTCCGTGGCCAGTCGGAAATTGACAAACGGGATGTAACCCTCGTGCTACAAGACTTGGTCGCGGTGCTTCAAGGTCGAAAATCTAGGACGATGACCGTTTGACCATCGCTGGCTATCGATAACACTTTGATTTTATCATTCTCAATAAAGGGGCCTGAACCTTCTCATGAAGGAGGGCGAAATGATCAAGGAAGAAGACAACCTACTGCTTCCGATGAACCGATGAGAAGTGGTGAATAGACCTGTGTTTACGAGGGTTGAAGGGCCAGCTTATGAAAACCACAGAGAAATTAGCCTGATTAACATCAAATCGAAAGTGCTCCTTTGGGCTTAACCAACGCATGTGAGCAATGCTTGTGTGGAAGGAAAGCTATTTAGCTCTAGTAGACATTTAATTGACTACATCTTTATTCTTTGGCCAACGTTAGAAAGCATGCACTCCACTCATGTAACCACCATCCAAATTCTTTTTCATCTGAAGTCTGTCTTCGACTCAGCTGACTGTACCGTATTCTGGTGCCACGTTTTCATCCTGAAATCTCTGCAGGGGAATACCCGGAGCCACATTCGGACTTATAGTGGTCTTTCACCTGAGTTCACGACGGAAATTGGTGTACGTATGTATTTCCGTTCTCTCTTTTCTATATTACTTTGTCATTTACATCGTTCGAACGATAGCTCTTTTCTCGTAAGAAAGGTGATCTCAAATTTTCCGAGATAGGACAGTTCTTTTTTTAATCTTTTCATATTCTTGTTTTGGGATTATTTCCGGACAAGACTCCCGTCGACTGATAGCAACCAAAACTGATGCATCCAGTGCAATTTTATTGATTGTTTAAATTGAACTGATCTGAACTGAAGTGGGAGAGCGTTGCGGCCTAAGTACGCGGAGGAACTAATTGATCTACATGAATGTCAGGGTGAATTTGTGAGCCTTTCTGAACCGAATGACTGATTGCGTAGAAATGTTTTGGATGAGTTTTATACCTTCATAGTTTAATTTATTTCCACTGGACTGAATTAGACCGGTCTAACACAAAACTCAAACGGTCAGGGAGACAATAAACCAGGTAGTTAGTCACAGATGCATTTGGTTTTTGACAACCCCATTCTTTTACGGTGCTGACATGACATCTGGCGTTGTAGTGGTTCCTCACTGGCCTTGACAATGTGCCATTTTCCGCGCCTGCTTTGGCATTTTGACACCTGATGAAAAATTGTCATGTTCTTCACCTGCAATAAAACTGCGACTCCTTGGGTCAATCTGCCTTGTTTTGCAACTGCTATAAAAATGTGACCTCAAACGACAAACCACACATGGGCCACATTTACCTTATCCAGATGCGTCCCAATTTTTCCCCCTCAAGGTCACATACACCAGCAAACATGGGCACAGAGACAGATAAATTTTCTGTCACACGCGTATTCTTGGTTAGGACTATAAAGCGACTCGAACACGCGCACTCTTTTTCTCCTTTCACACCTATGTTTTTACTTTTACAATAACCTCGCATCTTGATGCTAGTGATCATACCGTGCCAACCTTCTCTTCTGAGTATACTCGGTTGAACAGCTCAGATGGTTGTTGACGAGGACTATAACACAATAAAACGTTCGTATTTAGGATCATTTCCCACACAGTGTCCACTGAAAAGACAGTGAGTTTTTTTATTCTGAACGGCCCAGAAATGTGGCCGCTTTTGCTGGAAGATAAATGTTCAATTACTGTGCGATAATTATGCGTACTTGAAGTCCAGTGTCTTCCTAGCTTTGGTGGAATTTAGTGGGAAGTCTGTATCTGGCACAGTGAGATCAAGTGCAAATAATTTGGTACATGAAACAAACCATTAGATAAAACTCTGACACCCATCAGTTTATACCGTTTGGAGTATGCGTTGTGCATGTCCACGGATAAGCTTCCTTGGTTCTCCGTGTTCATTGAGGATGGCAGTGGTTAGGAGATGAGCAGAGGTGGCCAATGTGACAGAGACGATGGGTATGAAAAGGTAACCACTGTGTTTAAACAAGCAGTGCTTGTTGAGATCCCAGGAATGGGCCGAAAAGACTCACTTTCTTAGTAAATAAAGACACTGAAGAAAGTGAGTAGTTTGAATAATCTTATGGTCACATCAGAACAATATCACTGGATAGCTAATGACTGTTATCAGTGATTCCTCATCTTGCTCATACTCAGGTCGCAAAACCGGGCGTCTGTCTCAGCGCATCAAAGAGCATTACTCGAAGTGACTGAGTCACGGGAAAACAGGCGCAATAAACAGTTCTATACTTAGTCACTTAATCTATAGTTGTCATAAAATCGACCCAAGTGACTAATTTAGTGTTGCGTCTCGGGTACTTCCAAACTGATCGAAGGCAGCCTGACTCTAAAGCTTGATTACGTCTGAAGCGATCATCATACGCCTGCTGAGCCCTCATCTGTGCAGACAAAAGCAATTAGTCCAAGCACTTTATTTATCTTGATCGAAGACGGATCATAAGAAGCTGGAAATGACCCCCTGAAACCCCACTACCGGTAGTCAGTTCAGCATCTCCACATCTTACCTGAAGATCACCAAACCATTCCATCCCAATCCACCTATATAATCACAATGAACCTCAGCCCAGTGCACTTTCCATCAAATTCACTGTTGTCACCTCTATGATATGTAGAGGGAGATTAAGAATCGTTGAAAACAATTGGGTCATTTATCTGGTTGTCATCAGTTTCGTCCCCACATTTTCCTACCGAAGGTTTTATTCTTTCGAGTGAGGTTCTTACTTAGGTGTAGCTGTTAGAACCGCCGCACCCGATGCATGGTTAATGTCTGAACAGAACTGAATGTAAATTTCATGAGAAACCAGGTTCACTGTAAAACTCATTTTTAGAAACACTGCACAGTGCCTGGCATTTTTATTGGCGAAGTACGCATGCCGCTTGATGAAACTCAACTCACCCAGTGTCCTCGTTATCAAGTGCAACTGATCCAGATCTGATCGACCTGGCCATAACGGTGCGCCCGTGAGCATTTCAGCCACTACACAGCCGATGGCCCATACATCAACTGGTGGTCCGTACTGCGTGTCACCGACTAAGAGTTCCGGTGCTCGATACCATCTCGTAGCCACATAATCAGTGTATTCATCTCCTGGACCAGCTAAGAGAGAACAGAGACCAAATCGTGGTCTTAAGTGATACATGGGGCACTTCAAACGGCACCTGATGCTAGTTGAGATTTCAATATTGAAATATAAGTTTAAAATCGTAGTCGCTAAACCCCTCGGGCGGTAAGACTTCAAGATGAAAAGGAAAAGATAAACAGCCAAGTATGTAAAAACGTTTATGAGCATTTAGTTCAACTGAAAAGAAAACGCCATTCAAGGTTACTTGCGATTTCTTCCGGTGAATAACGGTAACTTCTTCGGGATTCGACTCTGCGGCTTACCTCAACTGCCCATTATTCAATCTAACGGAGCTTCTTTCTGAACCTTAGAACCAGTTGTTATGAAGAGTAATGCAATATTAAATTGTATATAATGAACTTTGGAAAGAAGTTCACATTTCACCCAAAGTGTCCCTATCTTCATCATCCCAGTGGATGGTTGAACAAAATAAGATGGGCTGAACAGTGAAGTGTACAAGGTGTTCTGTTGTGACTCAATGTTCTGCGTGATTTTGGAATTTGGTGATGGTTGTAGTTTAGGCTGAAAGTTTTCACGAGTTCCTGATAGCTGAGCCCCGCTTTTGGGTCGAAAACGATGCCACCCCGTCTAGTGGTAAAACGTTTTACGGTCTAACTGCCAAACTCAGATATCGGGAGCCCATACAATTCCAGTACGTGTTTGCCACTGAGCGGGAAGCCAAAAAGACAGCAGTGTCTGCAAAATCAACGCAAAAAACAATGAGATGAAAGATGAGACCAGTGTAATAACTAATAAGACAAGACAATCATTTGCTGAAAAAGGGATGGGTAGGGACTAAAAGAAGCGGTCGCATAAATCTTCAACAGGCTTTAAAATCCGCGGACTGGCGAAAGGGACGAGCGAAGCATAGTCGTTTATGAGCAATCTGCCCACATCCTTTTCAAAACGTCGACCAAAATTATATATATATAGCGTCAACATGAAACCGAACAAAGGAAACCAAGATTTGCACCGATAATCACGAAAAACAAAAGCCGGAAAGAAATCCGAGAAATTAAAGAGAGCACAGCGCACTCATCAGCGGTTCCACAAAAGCAAATACCTGACCAATCAAGCTTTGCGCATGAACATTTACTGAGCTTTGATTTGCAGTGGGTTTCGACTGTTGTTTGTCACATCGACTGATGCCACTACAGTTTTTGTGTTACTCACAATATTATTAGCCCTGCATTGTTGTGTTCCAGCTGTCCACTTTCATTAATTCTTTCGGAAATTTTCTCTACCATTTTAAGTCGGGTTCACCAAACGTGGTCGAATTGGCCGTGTGTCAATATTGTCCACGAACACGAATAAAAACCACACAGACATTCTTGAAATTACTGGTCATTTTGGTGATGAGCATTGTCCGTTTGGTGACCTTGATCCCTCCAGTTTTCCTCTAGGAGAAGCAATAGGTCCACTGGAACGGGTCTTGCTCACCTCACTACATGAATCACAATGCACGGTCCCAACAATAAATCGTCACCATCCGACCGAGGTTTTAGGCCACACACGCCCCGATATTTTTTACTACGTACTTTCGCATGAGTGCAGTGGAAGGAGGATACCCCACTGCACTACTAGGGATGGCCGGCAAACAGACCCTGAGACTTGGAGTGGAGAATCACGTAAGGCCTCAGTATTTTAATTGTAGTAACGATGCACTGGGCTATGCATCAAAGTAGTTTTTTAATAAAAGGATCGGAGCACTTACTCAAAAGCCTGGCAAATCCGAAATCACACAGCTTCAACTGACCAGCTTTTGTAATCAGAATATTTTCTGGTTTCACATCTCTGTGAATGCACTGTCAAGAAATGGTAAGGGTGCGTAGGGAGGAAAAGAAGTGCTGATCAGGAAATAGTCCCATCAAAAAGTACATAACTATCCCCTAACAAGTCAAATGGCGTCGGCTATCCTGTAAATTCTCTACAACATGAGTAGTCTGGTGCTTCCAGATAGCCCACATTATTTTTATGGGATCATCCCCATGTTGAATAAATCGTGTATTACTGGAATCCTGGCAGCGCCACTTGTTCATCCAAGCAAGACCGCTAAATAGTGTCCTTCCGTGACTACCACCAGTTAGGACACCCACTTACCAAAGAAGATTTAACCGATAAGTTCCGTGAACTTTAGGTTTGTTTTGTTTATGAACACTTCACCACCTAGGTTTTCGCAAAGGTAGAAGAACCCTTTTCAGTAGATCTATTTTGCTCCCCTTGTCAACCATCACCATTTTGTAACTTTTGAAGTCGTCGAATTCCCTTAGACTTCTTTCATAATTTCTGTACAAAATATTTGATTTAGGTGTGATGAACAAAGGCGAAGCTCTTAACTGATTCGGAAACAGTCCGTGGAATCATGAATAATTCCATTGGTTGTGATAACGGTGTAAAATGTAAGCTTGAGTTTCGACGTTTGATAATATCGGTTTAATTTATATTACTTTATTCTAACTGCAACTTGTCGTATACCACTTCAGAGAACAACCGAATATCCAGACAAAAACACTTCTGTATCAGATTGTTACCAGGTTTTCTGGACCAAATTCTTCAGTTAAGACAACCGGAAGATAACCTGAACCTAGGCTTTCATGTTGATTGTTGTCCCCGGGAACGTACCAAGTAAAAGACAGTATGAATTATTCGCATACGCCCAGATGAAGCCTACTTTAAAGGATAATGCTGGAGAAAGAAAGGATTGGGTGTAAACTGCACCTTGACTTAGGACGTTTACCCATGTAATGTTGATCTTACGGATTATGAGTATGTTCCTCTTGCAAGTATAAATTACCAACGCCAGAAGAACCTCCCTGACCAAACCTTTCGATCTGCGTCCCCAAACTTCGGCTTCACATCACCCGTCGTTCGCTTCCACTCTACGTTCGTTCACTGCTAACTTGAGTTGAGTAACGCATTTAGTTTTTTGGAACAGGCCCGTAATTTTGCTGGAGAATTCAAACTGATAAGGACACAAAATTATCTCACCATTAGAGAGACTGCCTGAAACAGTAAATCCGTGGAATATATTTCTGTCTCTTTATGATTCTTAATTGACTTTCCTTTGTCACTAATTGTAAATGTACCCTAAAGACCAAAGGCACTCTTCGTGAAGTTTGGGCATCTAGAATTCAGGAGTTGTGCGAAAAGATTGCCTCCCACATACACAAGATATGATTGCCGAAGTCAACCATAAACATTACAATCTTACATTTATTTATCTTTGTGAGGATGGTATTCTTCCCCTTTTTCTCTCTTTTTTACTGAAAGATTTCGAAAGTTTTCATTACTTTATTTTATGTTCAAATAAGTACACTTGCAGTTCCTCGGTCACCTCAACATTTTGCTTTAAAAATTTTGAAAACGAGTCGTCCTATGACACATGACGGTTTTCGCTATTATCTCAGAGTTGCAACTGTGGTTATGCAAGTGACACAACCCTACATTATTTCCTCTAAACACACAGAGCATTTCCGGTTTTCAGAATTATAGAAAGTATAGTCATTTTTCACCTATAACAAAAACGCGAATAACTGCATTCAAACGGAAAAATCCAGTCCACTTACGTTATGGGCGTGGCAAAAATTGACGGCTTGAAGTAATTGCCATGTGAGTTTGCGAATCTGCATACGATCCATCCTAAGTTTGAATACCAAACGTGGAAAAAATGCATAATTATATTCAGAGAAATTAGCATGAAATCTCATAACCAGCATACTGAAAATACCATCTTTTGTGATTGGTTCCCAAATTCAGGAAACACGTGACCAAATAGAACTTGCAGCTATGACGTCCAAGTTTAGAATATTGTTCTTTCATTCAGGTACATGATTTTGTTGTTTACATTGGCTACTTTGAGTAGGCGACAGGAAATCTAACTGATAATGTTTGTAGTACTTATACATGTACTTTATCTGTCATCTAGCTGTGTGTCTCGGTGAATCAGAAAGTTCGTAATGATGCACTTATAAAATGACCTTTCCGTTTCTAATAACGTCAAAATTCCCACACTGTAGGAATTATCAACTCATTCAGTGTTTTCAATTGCGACCAACGCATATTATTAAAACGATATTAATTCTGTATTATTTCACATCCTATTATTGAATAATAAAATTTTGACTACGGAAATAAAACGGTGATTTTGAGGCTCAAGGGTCTTGCTTAATTTTGTCGGACACAAACGTCAAACATGGCAGTTCCTGTTCTCGTGTAGCAGACCAAAGAGAATCAGTGTGTTTTCAAGGAACCATCCAGTTAATAAGGTTGAATTCACGGATGTTATTCTTATTGTTGAGTCTGAATGCTTATTTATTTCGACCTAAAATATATATGTATCATCTCCCAATTGGAATAGTGACATATTTGTCAAACGTCATAGCTTAGAAGAAGAAGGCGAAAACAAAACACAAATAAATAGTTGATTTTTTCTCAATAACTACACCAGGTCGGTATTTTTGTCAGTTCAGCTCCGACCGGTCAACCAATATCAAAGAATTCATGTGCTCTAATTTAGGTTGTTACTTCGCAGCGTTGTCTGGTAGAGAGCCTGATGGGAGCATTTTCCTATTCGGAAGTTTTAAAGGTATTCCAATCAGTGTTGTCTTCGTAGTGTTGCACGAATATGGTGGAAAAAATATCCCAGGTTAGACGTGAGGTGTTGGGAACCAGAGACCAGTTGACGGAGCAACTGGTGGATGTAAACGGGATAAATTGACTGAAACATATGGTGTGCATGCTCGTCGATAGACTACTTCGGCGTACTTTGCTCTGCAAGGCCGGCAGAGGTTGAAACGTAGGACGCGGTAGCCCGTCTATGACGTAGCGAAATGTATGGAATCCTTGACCATTGGAGTGGGACAAGTAGGAGGTATTAGATTTTTACTTTAGAATTTGGAAAACCTAACGTGGCGAACACAGACCTGTCTTTTCGGGACTTATCCTCAGGCCAGTACAGTACACATACACAGTTTTAGCGTGATTCGAAAATGTGATCCAGAGTATTAACGTAAAAGCACGAAACTGAATGTCAAATTCGTTTTCGTTGCATTTGTATGGGCACATTATGCACCAGATTCACCAGTCCTGTGTAGCTGTCCCATCATCACATTGACCTTCGGCCACGGGAGCTGAAGTGTCTTGACAAATTGTTTTTGCAAGCACAGGAATGGCCTATGTAACCTGATTGCAATGGCCTCTGTCGTAGAGAGGATTCGTTGTCTGACCCCTTCAGAGCGGTTTGCCGACACACGATGGCTCTGTAGATCCAATCGAGTTCAAGAACACTGTCCTACATGGTTGACTAAAGGGATCAATAAGACGGTAACCAGCCCAATACTGGCCCGTGCAATCGATACGGGCCACACACTAACGCGAGATGGGCCATTCACCGTTATCCATCGTGTGTCGGCAAACCGCTCTAAAGGAGTCAGACAACGAATCCGCTCTACGACAGAGGCCATTCCTGTGTTCGCAAAAACAGTTTGTCAAGACACTGCAGCTCCCGTGGCCGAAGGTCAATGTGATGATGGGACAGCTACACAGGACTGGTGAATCTGGTGCATAATGTGTCCATACAAATGCAACGAAAACGAATTTGACATTCAGTTTCGTGCTTTTACGTTATTACTCTGGATCACATTTTCGAATCACGCTAAAACTGTGTATGTGCACTGTACTGGCCTGAGGATAAGTCCCGAAAAGACACGTCTGTGTTCGTCACGTTACTTTTTCTAAATTCAGACCACGGGAATATTTCTCGAACTAAAATCTTCCAATTTTGAGTCCACAAGACCCGTCAGTTAGATAGTTGGAGACATTTGAGGATATGGCTAGGTGCCGTGGCTACAGTTGGCTGCGAAATAATTGGTATACGGTTGTAATCTGATATGAATCGAAAGGAGGATGCACGGACCAAGTGGGGTGCTCAAGTATGGGGATGACTTGGGGGAAGAGTACCGGGTACGTAAACCTGGTGATCGGCAATAACCCCGAAACAATTTGTGTGTCTCTGAGGAAATTGTGCCCGGTCGTCCAGATGCAACACCATACTACTTCTATCAGTGATCACTGACACCTTGGAATTATTCTCATTATCATCAAATGTTAACTAGGATTTGCTACAAGAAGGAAACTTTCAATCTAGTTAGGGACCCGCTACTTTCTGTTTCATCATCCAAAACTCTTGTGTGTGCAAGTTGGCCAAAATCATTCTGGACCAGGAAATGCAAGCGCGCTGTTTGGAGAACTGCACTCATTCGTACTAACTCAAAGAACATGATTATTTTTGTATTGGTTAATACTCTTCGGCTGAAATCCGAGTTTTTCAACTAACGGAAGTGCTCGACTCTGTACAATGCAATTCATTTCGAGCACTTCCTTGACCTTCTTGACTATTCGCTTATCAATTTGCCTTCAGGCGTTTTGCACTTTATGCTCCTATTTGTTTTTCATTCAACTTGACAATGCTGAGAGTTAGCAAACAAAAAAAACGACAGCACCGAATTGCTAGATTTATGGTTGAAAACTGAAATGAGGCTCATTTCGAATCACTATACGGAATCAGAACCTTCCCCAGTTATTTCAGTTGAGAAGCTTCTTATTTCCAGACAAAGATCTGAACCAATATTTGCATATCAGGACAAAGCATTTTCCGGAATCGTAATGATAAATGAGGTTTACAAAAGGGGTGAACAGTCTCACCCGTTATTCACACTGTTTATTGCCAATTCACAAGGAAGGTCGCTAGATGCACGTCTCCGAGTTCGGAAGCTTGTACACAGAAAATATATGAGACAAAGCTCCTCTGGTTAGCATTTCAGTAAAGGCTTTCTCAGTGAAAAATGTGGTTAATCGAGTCGAAAGCCCCTTTTATGACTGCAAAGACGGAGCGGTAGTTCATTAGGTGGTTGCCGCTGAGACTGTTTTCGGATCCCTAACACTACGACATTCCAGAACGCAAGGTTGTGTAGAAATCGAAGATCAGATAAGGCTTCTCTTAACACGTCTTTTAATTGTGATAGCCACGGTCCCAGGTCTTATCAGAGATTCGACATAACTACCAGTGTACGCGAAACAGATCGTACGTCGACGACCCAGTTGCTAAAAATCCAAAAGCCACCTGGCAATACAATGCCAATCAGTGCGGTACACAAACACCAAGCGGAACGTAACGGCCGAGTCAATAGAACTCATCGATTTTGGCTGATGCCCTCATAACTGGGATAGTAAACTTGTCTGCAAATGAAAAACCATGTACACTTTAACATGGATTTCGGATTTGTCCCAGTAAGTAGGTTTGATGAAAACACTAACAGTTTTGTGCTTTCGGCTTTGTTACGCTTTTAATTTACATAATATTTTGCTTGGGATAAATAGTCATTTTTATTTTTTATTTTTGGAAACGACAGGAGTTTATGTCATGCCATAAGAAAACTAGTACTTCATTTCTGCATCAACTTGAGAATGTAGACTATGACTCCAATAATAAAGGCAGTGACTGTTAGACCAAAAACAAAATTTTGATACTTCAAATGTGGCACCAGTGTGGCTGGTTTTATGTTCCTCGGTATGCAGTTATGATGCGTGTGGTGTAATTATTTGTTTAAGATACTGAATTCTCTTTATCCAATTCATCAGAACACATTGAAGACGTCTTGTGAGATGAAAGAATTTTATTTACTCTTATTGAGCACGAAAGGAAATCATATCAATTTGTTTATAGTATGATATGAGAAACAGCACTACGGATTATGTGCCCGGAATATAGAGGACTGCTTTTCTGTCATCAAACTCACGATTTATTTACGCGTAAAGTCCCGGCTCCAACACGATGAAAGACGAGACACTCTCTGGATGCGTACTACTAAACGACAATAATTAGTTATCGAGATAAATAATTTAGACATGGCTTTTACGGTCAGTTCAATGGAGGATCGGGAAGTTATGTTGGTTGGGGTCAGACGTGTCAGGCATTTGTGCGCATCATGACCAACATCACTTTACTGGAAGCAGTTCGCTTTGGTTTTGGAATCCCCAAAATAGAAACTTGGACCCGACCAATTTAGCGAGGTTATTCACTTACAGGTTTTGTCAAAATTCAACTCGAAAGTGTATTCCTGATTGCGAATTTTTCCTTTCTAAACTTTTTGTATGATATCAAAGCGGGGGAAGTGAATATAAAAATCGCTATTGCCAAATGTTGTTCACGATGATTTTGTAATGCTTCCTGGGAATTTGAAATTTCGTGACCTTATTTAGCATGACAAACTTGCTTTCAGATTCAGAAACCGAATTTATTAAATGATGATATGTGAATAATTTTTACAACTATGATTGTCAAATTCACAGGTGGTTTTGGTCACTGACAAACTGTTGCCGAACCTTCCATGAATGGTTCTTATTGCTGAAATGTCGATTACATTTGTGTGTAGCATAATGAGGCGAAAGTTATTCAAACACACGTATCTCGTTGTTAATGATAAGCTCACAAGAAAAATGTGTTGGTTTATTTTGAATGAATTACCTTGAAATGGAAGTCATATATGCATCCTCTGTGAAAACTTCATTTCATTGTCGCGAAGATAGAGAAATGTACACTCAGGATTAGTACATATCAACACTTTAATAAATGACATGCTGCTGTGATAGATTCTGCTCAGAACCCTACTCATAAACAGTGTTGAAACAAGAGACATTGGGACAAACTATTGCACATTCGACTTGCATATTGCCTTATATTTTTTTACAAATCAATGAATATATTGAGAGAGAGAGAATACTGATGAGTAAACTTCTGCTCCATTATTAAGGTGGATGAGGCGAAGTAGGCTGCTTCACCTCTCCTGGTCGATCCGAAGCCAGCATCATACGCACAACAAAGGTATTCACCTTTCGTAATCGCGAAGGAATCACTGTCATAGTTGCTCGATTTGGCTACTGTTCAACATTTTTTGTTCTATATCAATATTTTGAGGGTTACCAATAACGTGACCCATGATAAGTATTTTACTGGGGAAATCATTCTAATGACTTAGGTGTTGTGAGACTTTTGCGGTGGTTTATGTGGGCCGCAGTAAATCATGATTGATTTTATTGAAAGGTATTATCCATAATGCTGTGAACAATACAGATTTCATTGGACTCGAAAGGGGAATGCTTCTAGTCTGTCAGGTTAGAGGTCCAGGTAAGTCGAGTAAATGCCTAGAGCACCTCGGCAAGTGAATATTCAGCTGTAATTTCTTCTTGGGAGACTACTCTGCCGCCGAGTAATGCGTCAGATAATGCCCCACAAAAGGATGATCATCATATAACCATGGGCATGTGTATCCATGTTTTGTCTGCATTTTCAGCAACGAAACCATGGTCACTTCAGTGGTTCTTTTGCAACAATTACCCCGTAAAAGTTCTGGTTTAATTATGGTGGAGAGTTTATTTCCATCGTTGGGAAAACAGGTCAGTGAGTTTTTTTCATATTGGGCCATGAGAACCAAAATAGTTCTTGTTAAGTAGCATGAGATAACCAATGATAAAGTAGATCAGTTTGGAAACCATCCTTTAAAAGCTGAAAAAGACTAACGGGGTTTGGAGATTAGTCAATTTGTGATTAACCGGACAACCGTACGTACATCAACACTGTAGTAAACTTTTGCATGTAAATGAGTACCTTTTACTCGCGGAATTTTTCGCTGGCACGAGAAGCCTGAATCTTATGTGATTTAAAATCCACTTTCTCTTTTCACATGGAAAGGTGAAACGCCACGAGCCGAAAATAAACCGGCGACACTCCGCTCAACCGGCAGATGCTCTACCAACTAAGCCATTGCGGTCCGGACAGTCGGGTGTGAATAACGCAAGTGATTGAAGGACCCGTACAACTTTTGATGCATCGCGAACATTTGCTTCGGTCTCTATTTTCGTGTCACAGAAAGAGCAGGTGCAACCTGACATCATATACAATACACATATGGATATACTCGTGGTGCACATTCGCGAGAGTTTGTTGTAATAATTTGGAAGCCATCTCTCATTGCCTAAACCAGGGTAAAAAGTTGTTTTTTCACTTCTTTAGCCTGTTATTCTCTGCTATTTTTAAATGCAAACGAAAACAAAACGAAACGCATTCGGCTCACCCTTTCGGATTCTGTTCCAGTTCATGTAGCAAAGTGTGGTCCACATATTGGAACACTAAATGAAGGCGTCTTTTTCGTTTGAAAACTTCAATCAAATTTATCAGATTTGGATGTTTCAGTTGCTGAAATCCAAAGAGCAGTAAATTTTAATTGTCAACTTTCTTTTACAAGAATAATTTCCGAGAGATATTTGCTTACGTCAAGATGTTTTCGGAAAGGTAATTATTTACTAACCATCACTCCCGTTTGTTTTATTTAATTTAAATAACTGGACCGGTGGTGGTCAAACGGTCATCACAGTGGACCCTTCAGTCCCGGGTTCAAGTCCCCGAGCAGATGCCGGTCAGTTATCAGCCTTAAATTGGCCGCGACTCCCTTTCCTGAAATATTTTACTGTTGTCGTATAATAAAATGGAAATAAATAAAAAGCTAAAAAAACCAAACTGGGTAACATAAAAGCTTGTGAAAGATATTTGGAGAACCAAATTTTGTAAATAGTAGTGAATGCTTTTCTCAAGACCAGTTTAAAATCCATTGTAATCTGTGCATGAGAAAGGTTACTCGCGGTAACCAAAACGTCGACTGACTACCACCTTTTGCGATAACGCTGTGTTACCGAACACTTGACACTTTCCTATAACATATCCCATGGTTCACCGTTTTTCGATACACTCCGAACGGCTCTGGGATCTGATACATTAAGTAGAAGATATCGTTCGAAAGCATGAACGTCAAAGATCTCAGCCGACGTTCCGAGAAATTTACACTGGAAGTCTCCCATTATCACAGGGGTAAACAACGACACTGTACATCACGATCAGAATGTTATGCATGATTTTCGAATGAAAGGCTCATATTAGGCACACCACAGTATGCCCTTATAAGTTGACCATGATAGCCGTCAGTGTCTTTGGGAAATTCCAGTTTGTTTTTTCTCTTACATTTTGCGCACTAAAAAATCAAAACCACTAACACTACCATTTTCTCATGTCCTCCACTCCGACGAGGTCCGAAATTCTCTCAGTGGGTCTCAAGAAGTTACTGTGTAATAGGGATCACGGACGACCTGTATCTGGCCACGAAACAGGAGTTTCGTGTTCCGGTAACGTAGCAGTATGTTACGGTTTTGGACGTTGTTGTACGGTGGTCTCAATCTCATTGTGCATAACAGGCAGGCATGTATAGTTTTTTGTTATGGCTTTCATACGAGTAATTTGTGGATGGCCAGTATGGAAATGATGCAGAGCAGTTCTTCGAAGGGACTCCGTATCGACATAGAGTCCTGACGTGGACAGAGATACAGGAGTTTTTCAGATAGTGTCCATGTTGACTATGATGATTGGAAAAATTTTAGTGCCTGTTACTAGATCGGGTCGTTTTTGGTGACTCGGCACACGTCATCGGTGGTGACTGGAAAAAGGCACACTACATCTGAAAGAATATTGCAGAAAGCCGTGTTCAACTGAGACTAGGGCAGTGACCACAATAATGTCTCCCGCTTGTTTTTGACAAATAAGCCGTGATAACCCATCGGTCTGACCGAACTCGGTGGTTTTGTGGCAGAATATTTCAAAATCAAATACTAATAATATTGTAGCGCAGCATCGCAGACGGCTGGAACTGTACACCAGTGAGACCGTTTTGGGGCCGGAAATTGACAAAAAAGGGTTGTAATCTATGAATAAAACAAAGTGCAACTATCAAGGAATTTGTGAAAATCTTGACCTCAGACATGAAGACCAAAGCTTGTTTTTCTATTTTCCGTTAGTTTTCCAACGGTGTCAGAGTTCGCATGGCGCGTGTCACAGCTCTTTCGGGCTGGCCGAGAGGGGGCAGGCGGTGTGGTGGGCCTTCAGATTTGGCGGTGCTATTCTCTGGAATATCACTTCGCCCTGATTTTGGGGAATTACTCGTTGGGTTTTTGTTAAATCATTCTAAATAACAAAATATTATCCTACATGGGCTCTTCTTTTTATTGCATGCTTGAGCATGAATGTAGTGGAAGGAGTTTTAACCCCATAGCCACGAAGGTCCTCTGCACTATTAGGGATAACTGGCAACCGGACTCTGAGACTTGGAGTGGAGAACCACATAACGTCCCAACGAGTCAGGTGTGGTACAAATCCGGTCGACAGTGGATTGCTGTCTATCAACAAAGTAACCAGTGATGGCGGCGATCCGAACCTCGGACCTCTGGGGTGGTATTTAAACCACTTTAACCACTCGACCACTACCGATCAAGTCACCATGTGCTATCATGCAAAACGTTCTTATCATAGTAGGATACAGAATGAGACGAGGAAAGAACAGCGTGCGGAATGGAAAGCGCACCTCAGACGACATTCTGCAGAAAGTCTCATTTCTATGGTATTGTCAAGCCATGTACGTTTGTCATGGGGGAAAATTGATGATGTCACATAGATTACAACAAAACTCTGAAGATCATTCTGCATGAAGGTATTGCGGATGAATTTGTATACACAGATGGCCTTAACGAAAACGAGGTGGTTGAGTTACTACTAACGTTAAAACAAGATGGGGTTGAATCACCGAGAATTCATTTATCAGAAATGGAAACAACAGCACAAAGCACAAGAGTTCAAGCTCCCAAAGCGGAAAGTCAGTCGTCAAAGGTCAAAGTTCGAGTTAGTAAAGGCCAAGCTGAAAAACAAAGGTCTTACTTTGGGCACAAGGCAGTCTACGAGGCTCAAGGTCACGACTAATGATAAACCTACAAATATAAAAGATCACAACTAACAGTTTACTTGAACTGACGATGTCACCTCGACTAGTGATCAAACTATTGCGATCTAAACGCCGAGCTCAGCGATCAGAAGATTATGGCAACCAACAACCTGAGATACAACCATCATAAATATTTAAATCATTGAGACGAAGTTGGAAAAAGACAGTCATTTTGGCTTACGAATATTCGACCAAAAAGATAAGTTGTCACTTTATGAAATGCAAGCCATATTTTCTGATCGGGTTTCGACCAGTGCTCATTGACGAAGTTTACCTAACACCATACACAACGGCAACCGAGCTCGGAGCATTTTCTGGTTTCCTGTCGTCTTCACTTATCTCGGATTTAGATTACTCTCTATGTTGACCGGGTGGCGACATCAACAGATTCGATATAAATTTTCTTACTGCACTGGGCTTGACAAATCTGGACTCTTGCCTAGATTTTGTTCCGAAAGACAAAGTAGAATACTTATGGTGTAACGACTGCACCACTAAGCAGCCATGATCACTGCATTCCTAAGGTTTGCTCAACAAACTTTGGTACAAAAATCGATATACATTATTCAGACAAACCTGCATAGCTATCCAACGGAGAAATTGCTCTCCTGTAAATCTAGCTTATTCGCGAACAGTTGTGGACACCACCGACTTTACCGTGTTTGAAGACTAAAATCCCTAATGTTTGGCGAGAATCTTATTGACTATCCTAATTAGTGTTTGTAAAATTGCTGTCTGTTTGTAACCAACGATGTGCAGGCCGGCAAATTTTCCAGTTCTCTGCTTGCAAAACTACGTAGGAAAAAACAAAGGGGCCTACGAAAGCGGGCGAAAGTGTAAAGAAAAGCGTACAACCAAGCTGATAAAATCGAAAAATCAACATCTAAATAGGCTGTACGTAGATACCATCCTGGGAAACTCCAGTTGTCGGTACAGGTGTTGTGCTATGAAAAGGCTTTTTAGTGATAATTCCAGGATCGGGAACCGTTACGTTGATACTGAAAAACTAAAAAGGACTTTAGTTCGTGGCCTTAGAATGTCTGTTTGCCTGTCCATAGCAGATATACCGAACCTTCTCAAACTAAGACCACGGCTGTTTGAAAAGTATTAAGTAAAGTGAAGGCCAATAAAGTCTCAGGCTTTGACGGTTTATATTCTGTTGCTCCGACAGTGTGCGCCGATGCACTGTCTGGTCCGTTGGCGGATATTTTCAATCGTTGTCTGAAAAGATGACGCCTGTCCCAAAGAAGGATCGTGGTACACACTGCCCCATTGCATGTTCTTTTTTGAGTTTCTAGATGGTGAGGAGAATTTTGCTGCCGCATGTTTTCACTGGATGTGCTGCAGGAGACATCCATCGGTTTGCATATATATATTGTCCCACTCCACCCTTAATGCCATCGCCTACTTGGAAATCTGTTGCTTGCGCTCTAGATTATATATATATATATATATATATAAAGTTATTATGATACTGTTGCTAGTCCATAAACATGCTTTCAGTACTCTCGACAGATTCGTGCTGCTCAGTCTATTATCCAGATCATGAGTCCACCAGAGAATATGCGGGTTGATTCGTGACCATTTCATGTCCTTTGCTGAAATGGCATTGCCTCTAATTTCTGTCAATGATGGTGTATTAAGTGGGGTTATATTCTCTTCCTACTTTTTCTCCCTGTACGTAAAACAGTTACCAACTGTATCTCTGTTTACTTCATGCAAATATGCAGACGACGTCGTTTTGAATGTGAGCATTCTAGCTCAGAGTTTAATCCCATAATTGAAACAAAGATACTCGACAGTTTAAAATAGTCCTCATCCCTTTCTCTGAATCTGAGTGGGTCCTAATGTCACGGTGTGCCATTTTATTATTTATCCATAGCATTAAATCAGAATAGTACACTTAGACTCCCTCTCTTTCCTCTAAACAACGAAAACCTTCCTCAGCGCCCATTGTCAAATACCTCAATGTTTTACTTACCAAATCTTTCGTGGTCTATGCACTTCAATGAGGTATTTCGCAAAGCTAGAAGGCTGTACTTTTTCTCCCTTAGATCACGTATGCTCTTCTTACCTCGTAAAAGTATTTCAAAATTTGTAACCACTTGCATTATTTCCCACTGACTTTACTGTTCCTCAGTTATCTTTCCTGATCTGCTGAAAAAAGATAAATAAAGCACATCTCTAGATGCCGTCGCATGTCTGCAGTTACACTTATTGACATCATCATAAACAAACATTTTTGTTCTTGTGAGAGTTTCACTTCCAAAATTCCTTCTGTGATTCCCATCATCCCCTACACAGTGACCTTATATAGGCTGTGTTTACATCCTCCACACTCCCAATGGTACAACTCTTATTTACCCGCAATTCTGCGTATCGTAAATCTGTTTTTCCGTATCTTGCTCGTCTGCTTTCCGATCGTAAGAAAGTTTTCACAGAAACACGAAAGGGCTTGAATGATATACAATAACCAGTTTTCTAACTGTTTCCCCTTGGTGAAATCGTGTATACATGTTTTGTTCCACAGAAATAGTGTAAAAGGCTGAAAACTAACCCTTTTTGGTGTATGAAGAAACCACCGATTTGACTTGACTTGAAACGTGAGAAAGCGAGAGAGAACGGCACCGACTCCGCGATTAGACCCATCAGCGGCCACCTTCATTGGCTGTTTCGGGTCGTAGTATTTTAGCAACAAGTTAGATTTCAGCATCTGTTTTAGTTACCAAAGCATGTCGGGCACGATTTTGACCAAATTTAAGGGGCGTTTTTGCACAGCAAACGATTGAACGGCAAACGTAGTCGGTGTGGACCAGGTCAGAACGCAATGTAATAGGTGCTAAGGTCCAAGAACGACCTTAGGAAGGATACTTGGACTGGCGCGGGCATTTTTAGCCGAGTGTCAGAAGTTTGTAAATGTTCACTTCAATGACCATTGTGTTCACCTCCAATTAGACACTGCATCCGACATTCCTGTCAGACAGGAGAGCACATGGATGGAAATCGGTCGGCCGAAATCTCAGTTTACCTCACTGACTGCAACTAGTGCTTCTGGCAGATCACCAAGTCTCATTGGCCAACTTCGTTCTTCTCTAACCTTCCATGACGAGACAAATTCCGCAGCTCACTTCTTCACCATTTCCAATATTAACCTGTTGGGAGCTGATTGACTCAACGAGCTTGGTCTAAGTGACCTGGCTGTTGGTGAATTTTGAGGCCAGATGCAACAGACCTCTGCTGCTCTGTCAATAGATCAACTGGCCAAGAGGTTCGTCACTTTCCACAGACATACTGGGCCTCCGTACACATACTCCAGCCACCTTCCAGCTGAAGAAGAATTGTTAACCTTTTTTGGACCAGAAGATACCATAAGCCGCACAATATCTTGTTGATTAAGAATTGAAAGGTCTCATAGGACTCGACCTTCTGGTCCCAACAGAGTTTTCTCAATGGGCATCCCTAATTACGGTCTTACTCAAGCAAAACGGCTCGATAGAACATGCGTCAAATTTTCTCCCGACTTCAATGCGACGCTCGAATCCAACTGCGACTGGCTTCCAGTTCCTTAAGATACATTCATGATTCTCAACAGTGGTACTTATTTCACAAAGGTATACTCGACTGTAGCACGCTTCCAGATTGAAATCGCCTCGGTGAGTCATATATATATATATATATATATATATATATATATATATATTAGTACACCCGCCTGAGAACAGGCATTGCGCCAATGTAACAAAAACGGAGAAAAAAATTACAAATTCGGGGGATTAAGAGTCAACATTGGGATTACAACAGGTGAAAGCAAAACACTTGGTATTTTCGCTGTACAAGTTTTGTAACTTTTTCTGTTTTTCAACTGTTTATGGGAAACGAGAAGTTGACGGATAGGTCGTGCAGCATTCGTGGCACTATATTCCGTTCCGAGAAGCACAGCACATCTTACTCTGCATAATCACAAAGTGTTGGCTAAATATGGTCATACTAAATCCATAAAACATTTCTAGTGCGCGCTCAGCTTCGCGTAGTTAGACGGGAAATGAGGAGATTTGAATAAACAAACATCACACATTTTTGGTTTAGAAGTTTCCAGATTAATTCGCCGTCCGTGCTTACCTTCAACGTTCTTATTTCCCTCATTGCAATCCTGTGAATCACCGGATCTTCCTCGGAGTCCGTGAATTTTTTGATTGCCACGATGTCGCCAGTATCACGGTGACGGCACTTGAAAACCACACCATAGGCACCTTCACCAATTCGAGTTAACTTTTCATAGCGATCCATGGATTGATCTCGCTAAATCAAACCTCCTTTTCTTATTCCATCAAATCACCTCCAAATATATTTCTCCTGTGTCTGGAAGTACAATTGAAAGGTGACCTTTTCAAAATATGAATTAAATCACGATAAATTATTTGATTTTACAGAAAGATGGAAACGAATGCGGTGGAAAACAAAAAAATGCAGTCGTTCATTTTGCTAACTCCTTCCTTTTTCCATCCTTTTCTTTGTATTTCCCTTTACTGTTTCTTTGTTACTTTTTCCGCGTCGGCTCCAAGCTTGACTCCATCCGGGGAAATATTATATATATACATATATATATATATATATATATATATATATATATATATATATATATATATAATCTTCGGTGGCCAAAAAAACATCACGTGTTCGAAGACCCGATGATCAGCCCAATTACTGACAAAGTAGCGTCACTACACCTACAGTCGACCTGTTGTTCATGCTACACTAATGAACACGCTCTTTTCCCTTCATCGCTGTTAACAGACTGTCTTAATCGTTACCAAGCTTCTCTCATTCCATGCTCTACTTGCTGATCTTGGACACAGCTGGAAAGAGTGACAGTAAGACCATGGTTTGGAGTATGGTATGTAGAAGTTGATGTCAGCACTGGCCTCAATTGATGCATCTTGTCTCCTTAGTTAGAGCTCCGGAGATGAGGATCGTTGTTAGTTAGAGACATTAAGGGGTATGGCTCAGAACCAAAGCTAGTAGTGTGAACGCTGTACGATGTGCTTAGCAAACTATCGAACCCTAAGTTTATTGAAAAATGTCAAGAAGCAATTACGAACATGTATGCAGTCTGTGTGTTGTATACCGGCTTGAAATCCCATATGACACCAACGCAGTTTCAACAATTACGAAAATAGGAAGGGGATGGAATACAGTAAAAAGGGTGAGTTGGTAAAAAAATGATATGAATTTTTCCCTTATACTTTTCGGTGTTTTTTTGGTTATCTTGTTTGTCTAAATGACTTTTTTACGTGTACAAAGTAGTGTAACAGCGTTAAATAATTTTTCCACTCACTTTCTCCTCTTCGTTATCAATTTTCCTCCTTTTGGTGTTGACACTATGCGCGACTCAAAGCTCGGCATAATACGTTACCAATGATACTTAACAGCATAATTGAATTACATGAATATGTACCGTTGAGAATAAACAACTGAAGCGAATTCTTTGACCACCTAAACTTTTCGAAGTTGTAGAAAGCAGTACTTATCAACGGGTGATCTTTCACTACTTGGTCGAAAGCACCTACGGGGTCTTTGCACAGTCGACTAATTCATCTCCTGTGGTAATCGACTGGTATATGGAGAATTCGTTTTTATTTGGTGCATAACGCATTACGTGACCCTCATTGCTAGTGATATTTGTTTCCAAGATATAAAAATCAATCTTCATTGGAGCCTGAAGAAGCCACCGATCAAAATCTCTTATTTGGTTCACACGTCAGGGTCAGCAACAACTCTAAAGCCACTCGTAAAGAAACACAGAATAATGCCACAACTGTAAATCTCTACGGTTGAAGAACTTTCAATAGAAGGAAATTAGATCTAACTTGTATGGAGCAATTTAGTGAAAGATTAGGCTAAAGCTTCTCCAAAAAGAACCTGTCTGTGTTAGCCAAAATCTGGAAAGGCGTGAAAACATCATTCATCTGACAGAACTGGAAACTATTCGCGATTCAGACTATCCGATGTAGCACAAAGTTCAGAAACCGGATAACTCAACACCGTCTACTTTTACCGATGGCAGTGAAGATTATTATGAGGTTTAAAAACGTTTTCTGGGGTGGTCTGCATCTCTGAATAGAACTTCAGATCACAGGGTAAATTGTTAGTTGTAGCAGCCTGAGAAAAAGCTAACCGGTCCTATTTTAAGCATAACAGATCAAATTGCTTCGCTGATATGTTATCCAAAATGCCTCCCAGCTTTAGTCGTAGTCTGTAGGTGGAAGCCGGAGAGTGGATTGAGACAATCAGTCAGTGACGTGGCGAAAGGGTAAGAAAGCCTTGACCAGCACACTTGAACGAGTAGACCGCGTTAAATTTCTTGATTGGGGTCCACAAAGTCTACCCAGGGAATAGTTGCCAGCACTATATGGAATAGCTAGGCACCGCATTCGAAATCCTCCTTTGCCTACATGATATCCATTTTATAAATTTCATATTTGTTTCTTTGACCTGTCTGATTCTATCTGGTAATCTCTTGACTAGACAGTGTTGCGAACGAGCAACCGAAACTGGTGCACAGCCGTGTAATGTAAGTGAATACTTTACCGGTACCAGAGTGTACAATTTTACTTTAGAAAAAACAAAACCCCCACCCCAGACCTATTGTTCCGACACTCACAATGATAAAACAGCTTTTGCAGCGGTCATCTGCATCGTTTTCCGGCAATGTGCACATTGAAATGTTTACCTGAGAAGACTTATTCCTTTCTGATATAATTTTTGTATATAAATTTGCCCCTTCCACACACACACACTTGTCAAACATTATTCATCCAGGCTATTATAGAGAAGGCTCTATCTTCGTATGCGAATATTGGTGTGGGTCTTTGTTTCGACACAAAAAGCATCCTGTGTTGAATTCGCGGAGCAGGGTGTCATTCCGGATAACGACCAAAAAGGATCTTTGGGTCCTCAAAGATAATGTGGACAACAAAGTAGCAGTGCCTGTGATGCGTCTTTCATTTTAGAACTGAAAATTAATGTTACGAGATTGAGTTGACTCTATAACAGAAGCTGAAACAATGTCTCAATGATTTTAAATATTTGTGTTGTTTACCATGATGTTCTGATTGCTGAAAAGTGCCTGTGCATTGGCATGTCACCTCAACTGAAGATGAAACGTTTGCGATCTAATCGCCAAACTCAGCGGTCGGAACATCATTGAATAGCTGTTTTTATGTTGTAAGGTTACCCTTTTTTAAGGGCAAGAAATCAAGAGTTTTTGTCTCTTGCGTGGAAGACGCATTGACTTCTACCCATTTATAAATCCTTGTGGTGTCGGCTATTGATTCGTCGGTCATTCAAGGTTCAAGCGGGCGCCACGGCAGGTAAACTAATCTTCATGGAAAAAGACACGTTTACTGTCCCCGGGAAAGTCACACAATCACAATATTCCTTCTCACTAATTACTTCTTGTACTCCTCCTATTTTTGTGATCCTCGTTGTTGCTTTGGCACTAAGCTTAATTTCAAGCCCGTGCAATTATATATATATATATATATATATATATATATATATTATATATATATATATATAGCACATTCGAAATTCTGGGAAATTGAAGGGAATTTCCAACACATGGTTTTTATCTGCATGGGCAAAATGGCTGAGATCATTGCTTCTAGTGCTCATAAGTAGGTTTCTTTTGTACATAATTTTCTGCGTGTAAATCTTGGCACGGAAAGAAACGGAGCAAATAAAATGACGAATAAAAGCCACATTAAAATGTTACCCAGTGGGCTTGATCATGTAGGGCTTCTGGTTGGGGCCCATGGGATTCATCTTTCGGTGGACGGAGATATTGGTTTCGTGGTAAAATTGCTTTTGGGCTCCTTTCTTGTTCACATGATTTTCAAATTGTACTTTTCATCATTTTAATTAATTTAGTTTCAGCCGGATATTATTGTAATAAAGAAGCTCATGTAAGAACATGGTAACACTGAACCTAGGGTTGAATGAACCAAACTGATGTGAGGTATAAGGGCTGATCTTCCGTCTTTGTATAACATACTTCTAAAAATTCCAATGAAGTCGTGGATCAAATTCACGTAATTCAACAAACAGCGCAAACCACGACGCGTCGTTTGACAATACAGTATTGTAATGGTGGTACTGTGTTACTGGGACGTTTTTAAGTTCAAATGTGATGGGCTTTTAGGACAGAATTAAAGAAATCATCACAGTGATAGTTTGATGTTTGGCAGATTTTGACAATGTTTAGAGGTGATCCAAAAGTGAAAAGTCTTTGGCCCGGCGGGATTCGAACCTACGCATGGTCACCACCCTCGCTTCAGTACCGCGAGTGCTCTACCAGCTGAGCTACGAGGCCAATCCGAGAGACCTTCGACTTTCTGCATATCCGTGTGTATCTGTGTGATCCTTTCCTGTGCAGTCTCCAAGATTAGGTTGTAAATCAAGTGGGTTACTCAGCCTAATATTGGTAAGAATAGGTATTTGGGCAAGATTTTCCGCTGTTCTTGTAATTCTCCTCCTAATCGCGTACCCTCCATTCTGAACCAATTTGAACAACATAGCTACCTATTTTTAGATCTATTGACACGCTGTAAAAAACATTTCTAGCATCAAACAGCACAATGTTTATTGAACTTAGCAAAAGCGGACTGGTTGTGGTCAGAAAGTTAGGCTCTATGCTCTTAGACTGGTCAACTAGGATATGTTTCGCGGTTACAGGCGTTTCAGAGGTGCTCACTCTGTCTGGTTTCAAAAGGTTATGAAAAACTGACCAAATTTTTTCTCTCATGATCAGTCTAAGGTCAACACCGGGCTTCATTTTGGTCAGCCAGTGATCTGTTTGTACTACTTTTTTATACATTTAAATGGTGCCACTCAAAAAGACAAGCTACATACCATGGAAACTTCTTTTTGCCTCATTCATGACGTGACTTAGTATGTCACTGTCTATAATGAGTCCCTGAACATTATTCACCTGATCTGTTGTAAAGTTCTTCCTCTATTTGCTGGCACATGCCCTTATAAATTACTTTGATGCAACTACCTCCGATAATAGAATAAGTCGGCTTCCTGAGTGCTCTGAATGGTACCTGCCCTTGAGAGGCTTAAGTAAATGAACTTTTCGTGAAGAGTTTTGGTAATTGGACATGAGATGGTGCCCTTAGCGACACTTGACTTGCGCTAGGCGGCAACTCTAACCGGTGTACAAGAAATTGGTGTGTTGGGATCCAGTGACCGAACGACCAATCCGTACGCCTTTCGGATGACGGTCT